ATCATTAAAATACAATTTATAAATACGGCGTTTTTTTCTATTGAAGTGTCATAAAATATAAACAATATTTTTAATGTGCAGATATAAAACCATGACCTAATTAATATACAATATTAATGCACATATATTAAAAACATAAGCTTATAACTCGATCAAAAGCCAACGGATTTCAATAAAATTTTCAGGTTACTTTTAGAACGTTTAAATATGAGCCTGATAAAAATTTCAGAAGTTAAGTCAACAAATATTGGCGAATGTTATCGTTTTTCTTTTTTACTTTTGCGGAGTGATAAAAATTTTTTTATTTTTTTCGATTATAATGCAACCCAAGTCTTTCTTTAAAATAATTTTGAAAATTGGAGGTCGTAATGTAATTATTTCAAAACTTGTATTATATACTATAAAAACATAATTATTTAAAAACTTGCACAACACAATGCCTACTTAAAATCAGTATTTGACTACTAATAAGTTTTTTTTGGCGTTTCCCTATCACTTCGTGGTTTCTTTCGGTAATCTTGTACGGTTTAAACATTTGATGAATATATTGAATTTAGATTAAAAATGAAAATTATTAAATTATTTACCTACAATAAAAACTGATTTTGTTCTTCGTCTCTAGTAAATTTGTTATTATATTCCTCCATTAACTTGACTCCCCTCTCTGCTGTGACATTTACTATTTTTAATAACTATTATTTCCTTTCCTGTTATATAATCCTCCTGATATTTCCAGTATACTGGATCAACTATTAAAGATATGTTGAAATTGTATTTTATCAATTGTTTTTCATCCCTGTTGAAATCTTTTGAACAATAATATTTCTGGTACGGTCGAAGGATATGATTTAACTTTTGAAAAAACACCTTGTAAAACAAGTTCAAAAATATGGTGTTGGCATGTTAAGAATAATATTTCTCTTTCAAGACACATGTCCCATTAAATTAATTTTCTTACAATATTAGCTGGATCTTGTGCGTGTATACGAGCTTGTTTCCAGTATGTTAGACATTCGTCCACTACAAGCGCCGCACTTTAATGCAAATTCAATTTTACAACTCTTAAATTATAATATAACACACTTAAATAATTTTTGATACAGGGAAATTTACTTCTAGTAATTAGATAGTTCATAGATTTTACTAGATAAACTTGGTATAGTGGCATATTTAAACAAGTAAAATAAAAAAGCTATTCACCACAATATTATTTAAACAAAACTAAAATCTAGATACAATAATAAGTATTAATGAAAATATTGAACATTAAGCATTAATATATTTTTGAAAATAACTTTTATCGTTACGAATTACAACACAAATAAAAATAATGCCAACCATTCTTATCTTCAACGAATAACAGTAGTAAATTCCATACATTTAATAATAAACATAGTATTTGTAAAAATATACATTGATTGTGTTAGAATAAACGCAGCGCCCGGTGGTTTTCACGCGGGTTCGTTAACGTTAGTGGTTTTATTTTGTCTCAAGTCAGGATATGTCGAGGAAAGGAATAAGGTGAGTGGACTGTATGAATAAATGTTGAATGATATTTACAATATATAATTACAACAATTAAATGTATTATACATGAATCATAAAATCTTATACACACCAATGTGGATAGGAGGACACTTAATACTAATGCCACAATGGCGCTGACATAAACAAATAATAAATTATAAATGTGAGGAAGACTTAAAAAGAAAATTAACAAGCATTATACTTATCGGCTGATGATAATGTTGAATATTGAAAGGATCATTGAAGTCGAATGCAAGTAGCTGACCAATGTGTACAATATACTGTGAACGGTACAGTGATGTATATCGGAAAATATATAGACACAACGGCGACATACTAAGCGCACAAGGGTGCGACAATCGCAAAGGTGATATTTTACTTTTACAACAAAATGAATACAAAACTATTGACTCGCAATCGCCATAGAGTTCATAGCTAAAAAAACAGTAAGATGGCAGCGGCAATACAGACATGGATAGAAAATCGACAACAATTCGGTGTAGCACAAATATAATATAAGTAATCACAAGACACAATTTCTTGACAACACATTTGACCAAAGTGTATCCAACCGTATCTATACTTTATAATTTTTAAATTCTCAAAATTCTACTAAATCAATAAATAATTGATCAAAAGTATAATTATATTGTTTTAAGAAATATTATTAGAACCATTTTTATATGCAAAATTATGCAAATACAACCACTTAGTAAATAAATTACAATAACTATAAAAAACTATTAATTCTAAATTTTAGAAATTTATTATATTTTATTATTTTTCTCAGAGTATCATTGATATATGAAAAATTTTGTTAATACTTTTAGCTTCGATGCGAAGCTGAGAAGGTATTGGTTTTACTATGATGTGTTTTTTTTTTTTTGTGTCTGTTACCACTTTTTCTCAGCTCTCACCGAACGGATTTCTTTCAACGATACGTCAAAAGATCACAAATCGTATCTAGTCGAAGACATTACCCTTCAAAATTGAAAAAATTTCCCTCGTTCCCCGTAAATGGGGGAAACCTCCAAAAAAATTACAAATTTAAAAATCGCTAATTTTCGAAATTTTTTCAATTTTTTTTACTAAAAACTGCCGTAACTTTTTCAAAAATGAACATATCAATATAATTTTTTTTTTTATAGATGCTTGATGTCTTTACCTATCATTTGGTATATTTTTTTTGTAAATTTGACTTTTTTTCTGCCCACAGGGGGGGATTCAAAATGACAACTTTTTCAACTTAACTTTTGAAAATGTTCCGGAAGGTCTGACACTTTTATATATATCTTAAATTAAAGCTTATGTAATATACTTTAATTTGAAAAAAAAAAATTTGACCTCTGGACTTGTCTTCATGGTGAAAACGGCTACCGAATGCTATTTTTGTGTGAAAATTTTCGATTTTATAATTTACATTTTTTACTTTAAAGTGCTATAACTTTTTAAAAAATGTATGGATCAATACAATTTTTTCATGAGAAGTAGTATTTATATACATCTTTCATTGGATATACTTTTTTTTTAAATCAGACTATTTCCCTATATATGGGGGGGCTTCAAATATAAAAAATGCATATAGAAAGTAGAACTTTTTCAACTTAACTTTTGAAAGTGTTCCGGAAGGTCTGACACTTTTATATATATCTTAAATTGAAGCTTATGTAATATACTTTAATTTCAAAAAATAAAATTTGACCTCTGGACTTGTCTTCGTGGTGAAAGTTGACATCAAAGTTAATAAAAAATTACAATTTTTGTAAAATAATTTTTTTTNAAGATTTGCATCGAAGCGTTTATTTTTGATAGTGATTTTAATCACTGTCAGATATCATTATACTTGATCCAACTATACCACGTCACAACTGTGCCGCGACCCCCCTGTGCTGGGTTTTTTTTATATGAAATAATAAATTCTATACTTAATGTTCTATATATTTTAACGTTAATGGTAATACTTATCGAGTTAAACTCAAAAAAGAAAAAACTACCCTCAATTATCATATTTGAATCCCAATGCGACACCAAAAGGGGTTGAGTAAAACCTTCCAAATTTGCCTATATTATTTTCTTATACAACTGAATTAATTTAGAGGTTACTGTGTCAAAAATATTTTTAAAAATGTCTACCATTATAAATAAGGACTACCCTAGACTGATAGTAGCACACACAAATAGAGTTAAAAAATTANAGCAACACGTTATCAAAAAAATTGGAATATTATAGACTGATAGTAGCACACACAAATAGAGTTAAAAAATTAATACATTTCAAAGTAAAATTATTTAATAAACCTGTTATCATATCAAACCTAATTCAACAAGAAATAATTTAAAAACATTAGAAACGTATGATTTTAATGTCTATATGTAGATTGTGGGCTATGCAAATTTTTAATTGAAAAAGTGGATTTTTTTCAATTTTTTAGGGTAATATTTTTAACTAGATAAGAATTTTAATCATTTGATCTCGAAGGGAGATTACAGTAATGTATTCCTTGATATTCATTGGAGCTGTTGAATCTAAATGAAATAACAATCAAATGAGTTAAACATTTTTTTTAACTTAAAAAGAATTTCAAAATAATGCTTTTGAAAAGCGAGTTCGAACATTAAGTGTTACCGAAAGTTTTGAAAAAATTGTATTGATCCATACATTTTTCAAAAAGTTATAAAAATATTAAGTTAAAAAATATAAAATTGAGAATTTTATCACAAAATAGCATGCGATAGCCATTTTCATCGTGAACACAAAATAAAGTCCGAATTTTTTTTTTCCATATTTTAGTTCATTACATTAGCTTTAGTTTAAGATATATATAAAAGTGTCAGTATTTCTAGAACACTACCAAAAATTAAGTTGAAAAATTTCTACTTTCTATATGCATTTTTTTGTTTTGAACCCACTCTTTATAAAATTTTACTGTCTAGTGATGTATTCAAAATAATTTAACAACATTTTTTTAGTATATTATAAATTCGCTCTCTGGTTATACAAATTCCTAAAAGCTTTAAATCCTGTAAATATTTAAAAATAAAAGAATTCGACTAAAATCTTTTTTCTACTTGAAATTTTGAATATAATGAATAATTTTGATTTTATATAGTTTTTACGTGAATTGGGTTTTAACTATCTACTAATAATATTCTAACAATATTATTAGTTTTTATACATGTATAATCGACATTGATAATTTTTTTAGATATGCTTATGCAAGTATTAATTTATTGAAACCTACTGTAAATAGAATAATAATCATCAGTTTATTTTTACTTACTATATACCAGTGATTTGATTCATAAAATATGTAAATATTGTAAGAAAAATTAATGAATCGACTTTGAACCAAGATGCTTTAAAATACCCAAATAAATTTTTATGAGATAAAAATTATCAGTTTTTCATCGTCGCTCATATTAACATTAACAATTATTTAAATGATCCTATTAATTTTAGTATTATTTCTCATTCGACGATAAGAAGTGCTTTTTATATTTTGAAGTTTTATATATTTAATATATTGACATGAAAATAATCTATTTTGTGTATAACATAAGCTTATTTTCAACCTTAATTAATGGTGCAGATATTTTAGTAATATTTCCAACGACAGCTCAAAGTCATTATCGTATAGTTCGTCCTCTCATTCGTGGTCTTTTAGATAGAGGCCACAATGTATTGTCTATTACAAACTTTCCAGAAAAAAATGATAGATCAAACTTAACACATATTAACATATCCGGACTGAAGTCACACACAAAATTTGGAGCTAAAAAAGTTTCAATAGCAAGTTTAATGGTTCGTATGATAAATACTGCCAGTTCTTATAAAAAGATTCTCGATTTTCAACCTGTTGCAAATTTATTGAAATCAGGACGAAAATTTGATTTAGTGATCGCCGAAATGTTTACCACAACACCAATCTTTGCACCAATTGCTTCAGTTGTAGATGCACCTATCATTGGAATAAATCCTATGGTAACACTACCGTGGGCTGATCAAATATTCGGTGTACCAAACATAGTTTCTTACATGCCGAATATCGCAATGAATATGACAGATATGATGTCATTTTATGAGAGAAATATAAATATGGGATTTAATATAATTTATCATGGTTTATTAAACTGGCTTTACGCACCAAACGTTCAAAAAATCAATGAACAATTTTATGGTATTAACACTCCAACACTATTGAACGCTATGGCAAATATCAGTTTGATATTAGTAAATTCGCATCATAGCATATATACTGCTCAACCACGTGCTCCAGGCATTGTCGAAATTGGAGGTATTCACGTATTAGATGCAAAACCCATTCCGCAAGTAAATTTTTTAAGTGTTAAAAACACTTTTGATATTTAGTATTACGTTACAATGAAAGAAAAATAAAAACTCGTGTTCTATAACATTTCAGGATTTAAAAGATTACATTGAAACCTCTGAGTTTGGCGTTATTATATTCAGTTTAGGTTCCATTGTGTCTGCAGATTCAATCACTCGAGAAAAACTTAACTGTTTATTTTTCGTTTTTTCTAAACTGAAGCAAAAAGTGATTATGAAGTTTGATTCGAAAATCAATGTTACAATACCTTCTAATGTAAAAATTATTAAATGGTTTCCGCAAAGAGACTTACTAGGTATTTACTTATTTTTTTTTACATATATTTTCATTTATATATAATATGTTGTATGATAATCATCATTTCATAATCAATAACAATTGATAAAATGATAAAATGATAAAATAATAAAAATTAAATTAAATAAGATTAATTTTAATGGAAATTATAATAACGTAATGTAAGTTTTTAGTTTAAAAAATTGTAAAAAAATAATTTATTAACTATAAATAAAAAATAAACTGTAGCACAGTGTAGTCACGTCACAGTATGTTCGTGGCATAGTTAAGACAAGTATAGATAATATCTGACATTGATTAAAATTACTATCATAAGAAACGATTCGATGCAAATCTGTAGATAGTGTTTAATTACGTCGATAAATACTTTGGAAACATTAGAAATGAACGATTTTAATTATTTATATGAATGATTACGAATTGTAATCATTTGACGTATCGTTAATAAAAGTAAGTCAAGTTAGAGCAGAGAAAATAAATGAGTGTCACAAAAAAATACCTTTTCAGCTTCGCATCGAAACTAAAATACGACCTATAATTTCTTTATCAAAAAAAGTATACCGTGTATTTATTTTTAATTAACACATGGTGATTACTAAATTATGCTTAATGCAATATCTTTATTTTTGTTTAAAAAATACAGTATTATATGTATTTTTGTATATACATAATCCTTGGCGCGTTTTAATTTTGTTTGGTGGTGTTTACATCGTAAATACTTGGCTTTCCATAATAACTGAAATTCTCAAGTCACATAGCATCGGATAGTATATGCAGTAAAATATTGATTGTTTTGTGTGTGGATCAATCAGCTAACGCTGCTCATTGTTAGACAGAGAGACAAAGTGTAGCATTTTATAGTGCCAAAATCACCCCCGGAAACCATTTTAAAATTATCCGGAAACCCGGAGGCCAGTCATTTTGAATTGATGTAATTTATGTGTCCATTTGTTTGTATAATTATAATTTGCTGTAAGTAAAGACGCCTTCATTATAATACTGTGTAACATCCACATCCAATTTCTTTATTTACACCTGTTCATAGCGCCAACCGTTCGTTAGGAGCCCATGATGAGAGGATAAAATACAAAATTTTAATGCCCGATAAATCCAAACCTAACTACATTTAGCTTACTATAATAACATTATTACCAATAATGGTGTATTTTGTGAAGTCTGCATTTTTTTAAAACCAAATTAAGAGTAATAAATCATTGTTTTTCAGCTCATCCAAAAGTGTTACTGTTTATTACCCATGGAGGATTAATGAGTATAATTGAAACTATTCATTGCGGCAAACCTGTCGTAGGCATCCCTATGTTTGGTGATCAACCCATCAATATAAGATTTTTAGAACAAAAAAAAGTTGCAGTGTATGTAGAATATGAAGATTTAAACATTGAATATTTTTATGGAGCTATTAAAACTGCATTATCTGATAATTTCAGGTGACGATAAAAACTAGTTTTAATTTCAATGTTTAACTTAATTAAGATTTAAACATATTTTAGAAAAAATATGAAAAAGCTTCAACTGCAGTATTTTGATCGACCTCAGACTCCGTTAGAAACTGCAATTTATTGGGCCGAATATGTAATTCGAAATCGTGGAGTATCGCCCAACTTATTAAAAACCAACCAACATAATTTATGTTGGACTAAAACTTACTTACTCGACGTAGTTGCTTCTTTAATTTTTTTTATAACTTTAACATGTTATGTTACATTTTATGTACTGAATAAAATTATTATAAATATGCGACAATGGTTTGAAGACTCAAGCAATAAATAATTATCTTATAATTATAATTTTCAGTACATTTGACTTCAGGTAAATTTAAATTACTTAAATTTACGCCGTGGTTGGTTCATTTTTAACTTTAAAATGCTATAACTTTTTGAAGAATTTATGGATCAATACAATTTTTCTTTATAGATGCATGATGTCTTTACCTATCATTTGGTATATTTTTTTTTATAAATCTAACCCTTTACCTGCCCACAGGGAGGGATTCAAAATGTCAACTTTTTCAACATAACCTTTAAAAGTGTTCCAGAAACGCTGACACCACTGATACCTTTTTTTTAATTAAAACCATTTCCCTTTATATATTTATATATAATTTATATTACACTTATAAATCATAAAACTTATAATCAAGATATAAATAAGGAAACAAGAGATCATATAGCTTTTGGAATAATCCATCAATTTTTTTAAATTAAACACTATCTACAAATTTGCATCGAAGCGCTTTTTATGATAGTGATTTTAATCACTATCAGATATCATTATACTTGATCCAACTATGCCACGTCTCACCTTGCTGCGACCCCCCAGTTTTTTTTTTATATATTTTCTTGGACTGATACATCCTAATTTAATTATTGTTGCCATACATTTTGCATTAAAAGTGTGCCCTATACTATTATCGGACCAAGTTGACCAAACAGGTCATTAATTTAGGCAATATGTGATAAAATTGAAAGTTTCGTTATTGACTCAGAAATATTTTTAACAATTATTATGAGGTATCAAAACGCGCATTCTATACAAGCCCTAATACTTGTGTTGTCGGTCCGTCGTTGTTAGCAATAATATGACTTTTATTATTGTTACCAATATTATTATTGTTGTCCGTTGATTAAATTAGGCACATTCGACGACCACTTGCATAATTTGAAATCAGCTTTGTTTAATACCGTACGAACTTCTTCCTCTAAGCGAACGGCTTTTACGAACGTATCACTTCCGCCTAAGAAATCATAGACAGAAATGAAGTTGGCACTGTGCCGTTCGTCGCCGTTTTTAAACGATAAGTCCGAATTGGCTGATCAGGCTCAGGACCAGGCCATAAAANGAATTGGCTGATCAGGCTCAGGACCAGGCCATAAAATACCCTAGAAATCTTGATTTTCTTGCGTTACCCATACTTGTCTATGTATTTTTGCTATATCTCCTATCAAGACAAAGTTGTACTTACGAAATATAGCAAGTATGTATAATAAATTGTCCTGTACNCAGGCCATAAAATACCCTAGAAATCTTGATTTTCTTGCGTTACCCATACTTGTCTATGTATTTTTGCTATATCTCCTATCAAGACAAAGTTGTACTTACGAAATATAGCAAGTATGTATAATAAATTGTCCTGTACAACAGGTCCTTTCAATAAAACCTCATTAAGAGAGAGACCAGACTGAGTCTTACACGATGAGTCAAAGACGACACGTAAATTAGTAGTAGAACAATTGAGATATCGCACAGCGTGATGCGGAATGTAATATATTTTATTAGATGAAATAAAATTAACATTTGTAACTAGTTCCATATGACCCAATAATTCGTCTTTTTATAAAAATTATACATAATCGGTTTTTTGCGCTCACCACGTATTAATACAGCAACTGTGGAAAGTAATACGGTTTATCTTTATCTACTACCGTTTGAGTTATCATGCCGTCGATTCCGTTATTTATCGCTAATGCGTTTGATGATATTGATACGTCATTCTTATTATTATTACCATTGCCTATATTACTTTTAATGTTTATAATATACTCGAAACTGCAATTGAGCGGTGGCAAATGCAATAACACATTATGCGGCTTAGTTAGAATATTGAACGAACCGGCGTGATAACATTTTTTGTAAGAGTGTGACAATAAACAAATTTTACATAAATTCAAATCAGATATCTTTTTAATTCTCTAAAATTGATAGTTTAGGACACCGATGTATAGTGTGTTGCTCGTTACAAAAATAACAACTTTAAGTAGACACCAATGTTATCAAGATAGTTTTTTGGTAATTTCTTTTTGCAATAAAATGGGGTTGCACAGATTTAATTCGATTATGTATGCTACGAGAGCTTTCGACAGCCTCTAGATTTTTATAACGACTTTCAATAAAATCAATTAGTGATGATACTTACGCTGTTTACTCGCTATGTGAAGTAGACTCCCATTTCTGCAATGCGTTCTTGTCGAATTTTGAATAAATAAATGAGTAAAAAGAAGTCTTGGCCAAACGACTGCAATTCTTGCATGTGCCCTGACACTTTATTCGTTAAACTTCTCAATCTAACCGACGATTCGCTGATTAACGTCTCCAGCTCAAATAAAGCTTTTACATGCTTAGAAACCATTGGTCTTTTGTTACTAAACCGTTTAACCAAATTATTCCACGCTGTCCAATAGTTAGTTGCAGTTGTTTCTAAGCAATGGATGCTTAACAACGTTTCACCAGTTAATACAGAATGTCAATAATACAACTTCTGTATCTCTGTCAAATCACTATTATTGTATATTAGAGATGAAAATAAATCGAAAAATACTGGCCATTGCTTATAATTACCCGCAAATATGGAAACAGTCATCTGAGATTAATTTACTTTTGAGTTTGATATATAATTACTTATTACATTAGACTTTGATACCGACAACGTAACACTATATTTTTGTATAGGCGACTCAATCGTTCTAAAAGTTTAACAAAATGGATCGAATAACATGCTCATAAACAACTGGATATAATATCTATTACTTTAAATGTAATGATCTTGAAGTTAATATTTCTACATTATGAAATCTATATCTATAATAAAATTTTGATTGCAAATCAATATTTAGTTATAGGTTTTTCATTTATTAAATATATTTTATAGCAAAAAGGTTTTAAACGATATCTTATAAATGAAAATTCATTGGTATTAATAGTTCTGATCTATGAAGAACTATTTGCTATACATTAAGTTAAAAACACGATTAAATTTATTTGATAAAAATTATCAAAATAAATAAATAATTGAGGTTACTAAATTATAAACATAACTTCACGTGTTGAAATTTTATATAATTGTAACAACTATAAAATGTATATTGATTACACAATTATTTAATTTAAAAATACAAACTTACAATTTTTCACAATATTAATGATAAGTGATTTTGAGATGAATTTACAATAATTAAATTTGTTACTTTTCAGAATTTACAATAATTTTTGATTAAATAAAATTCTTATTTTAAATTTCAATCTTAATTTTTTTTATTAACGAAAAACCTTAACTAAAAAAGATTAATATTACCATAACTAGCCGAGGGCATGAAAGTACATAGTCCCCAAAAATTTCAGAAAACTATATGTATTATTTTATAAATATATTTTAAAGTAGAAAAAATTAAATATAACACCCTATAAGGGTTTTTTAGTTCACCAATTGTAGTAATCAATTCAAATCCTAATTTATTAAATTAAAAAACGACTTAAAAAAATATATTTTATAAATTTTTTTGTCCCCTTTCAATATATACCATTGAACTAAAAATTAACTTGAGTCCCCATAATAAAACCACGTACTCGAAATTTTAAGATTTTTTTTGTTTTCGAGAAGTTCATATTATATATAATAATATTAATATTAGATGTAACTCTGTGTAGCTTAAAAAATGTTATACCACGTAAAGAAAGTTTTCGTCTATTTTTATTTTTTTTATAAAAACTATAGCGTTTTAACATTCAATTTATTATTTAATCATAAAATAAACCATTTCTTCATAAAAACATTAATTTTAATCAATGGACTTGAAAGAAATATGTTCAGAGTTATTAAGAAAAATAAATTTTTATCTTAAATGAACTTTAATTTGTATTAATTTAAGTTTTAATAAAAAATAACCTATAAAAACTATGTAATTTAAAATGCCCAGTTCGAAAAAATTGTTTTTTGTTACTGAAAAATATGGTCTTGATATCAATGTACATTATTTCTCTATAAAAGTTACTTGCAAAATGGATAAAAATATTTATAATTTAAATTAAGAACGTTTTGCCAAATTATTATCAATTTTAACACAAAAATGAATTTTCAAGCTTTAAAAAAAACCTGTGTTATATTTAAGTCATTTTAAGCTATAAATAAAATGACTATAATTTATGTACTATTCCTAATTCTCATTTAAAAGGAACAACTTGACATAATTATTAATTAATAAATCGAATTAACATTCCTTGGATGAAACTGAGCCAAAATTACCAAACATGATGAACCTGCAGCTATAACCTTAAAAAATGAACACACTATATTAAATTAAAGTAGATATTTTAAAAATACTTGTTTTAAATGTCAGAAACACCTAAAATTAGATAAATGTAGTCATATGGTTAAAGTTTGTTATTATAGACAAAAAATAAATAAATCTCTATATTATATTTTAATAGAAGTTGAATAGTCTACTATAAACCAATCACCGAGTTATAGACGAAATTAAGGGTAGGGGAGAAGTTAAAACTTACATCCATTATATTTTACAGTAATTTCTAGCGCATAAAATAATAAGCTTACAATAAGTAATGAAAACAATTGCACAAAAATTACTAATATAAAATTGATATATCATTATTAACACATGCATTAGTTTTACAAAAATTATTTTTTTTTATTTATTATAAATTTATTTAAAAAACCTGTTTATTAATTTCCTTACCTAGTAAAATTCTTAAATACGTTTCTACACCTTTATGTGGTAAATATTATAAGAAAATGTCATTAGTCTTACATAAATATTATTTTGGAAATATTAAAACACTCTCTTTAAAATAACTCAATTATATATATATATATTATTATTCATATGAAAGATTTAGGTACGATTACATACAAATTTCAATTTAGGGAAAATACTCCTTAATAAATATGATTCGATAATGTATTTTAAAATTATAGCCTCTACATTTTACTTGAGAACATATACTCAATATAAATCAAAATAATGATCTTAGTCTATCCCTAATACATCATAATGTTAGTTTTAATAATTTAAAGATATTTTAAAAAATATTACCGTTGCAATTAGACGAGTTTTTACAGTAAAAAAATCATAAATAGTAAACTCAATAGGACAACTTGAAATTTGATTTAAGAAAATCTGTAACTAAAATTAAAATACATTTTTTTTAACGACTTAATAGATCTGTTATTCGATTTCTTACCTCTTCTATTATAACACTATCCAAAAACTGGTTATTTATTTCAGTTATTAGTGTTTTTGTTTTTGTTCCCTAAAACGATCGATCAAATTTCAATATTAATTTTAAAAATATACTATAATCAATTTTACTAAAAATATTAATAAAATTATCATGTTTGTTCAATTTACAAAAAATCATAGTCATCATTGATTTATTTTAAGCTTTGTTTTTTTAACTTTTAACAAAATGTTATTTTTAATGATTTATAATTATGTTTATAATACCTGAACAGATGCCTTATCTGCCATAACTGTAATCATAACTATTCTCAGTGAGTATTGTAACAGCCACACATAAACAAATATCTGAGGCTTGAAGTGATAAAATATTTCATTGTATACATAAAACAATATCTTCAACCCTAACATAATCATCGATAAGCCTAACTGAATTCCAAAAAGATCATTCAGTTTAACCACTGCATCGCGTACCAACCAATGTTTAATTCGAAGAGTCTCTATCCAATGAAATAAGAGCTCTCTTGAGCTCGTACTGTTCCCTGGACGAGGATCATGTGAACAAACGGTACATTCGAATGGATATGCCTTGTAGGTGTCATATGTGTAACCAGCCTCGGTGTTCGTTTTGAACTGACATAATTGTTCGTTGATTCCATAAAACTTTATGTATAAATTATAACATTGCACAATAAAATGAAATTCCATACAGCACATTCCCAAATTTTGCATGTATGTGAACAAATAATACACCATCAATGTCGCCTTGAAAGTATACTGATCGTCTAAATATATATAGCAAAGTCGGACTACATAAACAGGTAAAATAACAACAAGATAACTATAAAATAAAGCTAAGCAAAAGTTATTGAATCTTCTCGTCTCATCTGGTAATGTTAGAGTGTACAACTCAAATGCATCAATCGCAGCTTTATATTTGGCAAACTTTATTTTACCTTTATAGATCGCGCCGATTCTTGAAAAGAACGCTGTAACAGCCACTACTTTGATACATACACCTGTTAATATAGTCGAAAGTTCACTGCACCACTTATCCATCTGACAGATAATACGAGGCGGTATAATAATACAAATCAAACAACTGAGCAAAAGGAAAACAGAAACTATCCAATGAAAATCATTAAAAATCATATTAATCGAAAATATACCAAACGTTTTGGAAAATAATTTGACAGGCCACATAAATATTTCGTATTTTTCCATTGAACTTTCAAATCCAATATTCAAGCACATGTGTAACATAAGTATAACTAGTTTGAAAACAATCAAACATTCTTAGTGAAAATAGTAGTTTAGTAAACCCATTGTTTAATTTAAAGTTTTAAAGTTTAATTTAAAATGACCACTCAATTATTTCTATTAATCTATTATTAAGCATAATTCAACGTCCATATTTTGCCTCACATAATTATAATGAGGTGGTTTACTTTCCACTAATCTGATGACAGTAAATTATGAGTTTTAATAGAGTAATTAGGATTCAAAGACTTGGAGACCGTTTTCAAAATATGCTTGAATAATGAAAACATTTTCTAGTAACACTTCATAAGTTTTAACATCAAAACTTGATGTATTCATAATTTACATAATTCATTAAAGTCAACTTTGTCTATAGTCTACAAAAAAACTTCAACAGAAAATAATAATAGTTATAATTAACCATATACAAAATTTTTTTTGTGGCATTTTTTGATTTTGTATAAAAATTAATACAATATTTTGTTGATAACTTAGACAATTTTTTTTTTTATATTTTGGGAACAAGTTACTTTTTTTCCTCGACAAATTACACTTTAAACGAAAAAAATGAAACGTGCTCCAGAATATAGTAATATAATTACTTTGTATTATATTATACTACATTATATATTATAATATTACAATTAAATATTAATTAATAATAATACATAACCATCTAAAAGTTTTTTACTCTAAAAATATTGCAAAAAAAAAAAAATAATAACACTTATTTGAAACAAATAATATAAAAAAAAACAAGTTTATCTTAATACTTTTTAAGAGACATAAGAAACTGATACATTATTTTAAAATATAAACAATTAAATTTCGGATTATTATTATGGTAATTATAGAATATTTTTAATTTCTTTAGTGCACTATATTTATATGAGCTCAAGACTTAAGAACAAAATAAAATTGTCAAATATAAACTTAATTTAAATCTACATTTTATAGATAATTTACTTTTGAAATATATAAATATTTATATTTTATTTTGTACAGTGTGATTTTATTACTAACCCGAATGAAATTGAACCAAAATAACGAGGTATGTAGCTCCAGCAGCAATAGCCTAATAATTAATATTTATCGGTAAACAATTTTTCTTATTTATGTTTCAATGACGCTCGGAAAAACGTATGAGCAAAAAGAGATTATCTTGAATGAACCAACATCGTACTGTCATCGTGCAAGTAAAGTTATCACAATCTTAATCTTCTTTTTCCTCGCCTTAATCCCAGCTACTTGGGGATAAGAAACACCCTTATCTTAAAATTATCCATCTAAACATTCTCATCTCTGCTACACTCTTTCTCTGCTCTACTTTCTTGTCAACCGCCAAACACTAAACCATACATCATAAATGGTCTCACTACAGTCTTGTAGAATTTATCTTTCGGTCTCATTGGAATTCTTTTATCACATAATACACCAGACGCTTCTCTTCACTTCAACCACCCGCATTTAATCCGGTGTCTTACATCCTCGTCAATACCACCACTCTTTTGCACAACTGATCCTAAATACTTAAAACTTTCCACCTTTCCAATCACGTCCTATCCTATTGTCACTAAACTCCTCATTTCACCTAACTCGTGTTCTCCGTAAAGTTATCACAATAACTTTATGAAAATAGAGAAAAAATTGTTTATATTTAGTACGTTTATGCCAAGCATCACCACATTTTAATAGCCAGGGCTTAAAGTAAAAAAATTGCTGTAGGGGTATTATGGTTTCTAAACCATTATAAGTTTTCAATATATTCATTAATTTACTTGCATTTTAAGGGAAAGTAAAAAGGGACGATTGTCAAATGTTGTAAGAGATAAGATGACTAAGTCACGTGCGTCCTTTTCACTTTAAGCCCAAAAAATAGTTAGGAACAAATAATTAACTTACAGATGTGATTAAATGAGTATTCAATGTAAAGAAATCACAAGCTGTAAATTCAATGGCCCGGCTTGATATTTGATTTAGAAACAATTGTAGCTAAGAAAAAGGTAATAAAACATTAAAAATTAATGTGTTACTTTAATATGTCATCAATTATTGATAATACAAAAACATCATAAAATAGAAAATATATTCGAACCTCTTCTTTGGTATTGTTATCCAGATATCTATTATTAATATCAGTAATCAAAGATTTAGCTTTAAGTGCCTAAAATGTAATAGATTAATATATTAGTTTTTTTTTAACACTAAAACAATGCGTAGTAATAGATATTAAATATTAATAATGAAAACTTTTCTACATAAGTACTACGGATTTAGTAGTTTATGTATTTGGCGTATTAGAAATTATTCATAAGAATGGTCTAATTTACGATTGAAAAGCTTTTATATTAAAAACACCGGTTAAGATGATTAGAATAGGCCTAATACATAACTTTACTAGGTTTTTTTTTATCAGTTGAGCTTAAGAAGCAACCTCTAAGTAATACCCCTGGTTTATTTATATTAAAAAAGAAGCTATAATCTTGTACGATTCTTTAAAAAAATGATCAATCATGCAATTTAGGTAGTTTGAATATATTCTTTAATGTGAATTGTCTATTAAGTCTTAAATTACTATAATTAAGATAGAATTAATTATATCTTCAAAATTTAGATAACAAAACGGCTTATCCCAGTACTAAAACTCAAATAATATAATAAGAAAAAACAATAACATTCAATTTGTCATCTTGTATTCTTATTAATTTATATGTGCAATACCTGTTTTGTTGTAACGTGGGCTGTTAAAGCAATGATGCAAATTCTAAATGAATACTGAAAAATAAGTCCATATAATAAAATAGAACGTGCGTAAGACAAAAATTTTACACGATTTACGTGTACATAAAAGACTTCGTGATATGTATCATGTAAGGCCAATGTTCCAAGTGAAACTACTGTAAGAACCAATTGAATACCAAACAAATGATTAAGATCATCGACAGCTTCACGAGCCAACCAATGTCTTATTCTCAATAGTTCTACCATGTTGGTAACTGCGAGTGCTCCAGTTGTACATTTATAAAAATCTTTATTATATATAACTGATGGAAGTTCCGCTGTCGATAAAATATCTAGCTCGTTATGATATAAAAATTCATCGTATTCTGAATGTTTGTGTTTTAAACCAATGAGATCGTCGTTTATCTCTCGAAACATGAGGTATATTCTGAAAATTTGAATGACAAAGTAGGTCTCTACTGAACAAGTGTTGAGGTTTTGCATACACACAAATAATATGAACACAGTCAAAATAATGACTTTTTGTTTTTGGTACGTAAAATAAAACTTCAAAAGATTAATAGGAAATATTACAAATAGATAAACTGATATAATCACCAAAGAATATAGTTTATGATGCGCCAACGATTTAGCCGTCATAGGCGAGTATAAATCAATATCTTTTAAAGTGGTTTTGTACTTTTTCCCATTTGACTTTACATGATACATAAGAGCTATCCTTGAAAGAACTGTGGTCACTGCTAAAACTTTTATACACAGCCTCGCCATGGTAACCATAAAAACGTCTGGTAAGTCTTCTAGCGTTATAATATTTAAAGTATTACTTAGACTGTATGTGCAAGAAATTAATAATCCAATAGTGAATATTATTTGATATTTATTAAAAACCAAGTCAAATGAGATAATACTACATAATTTTAAAATCTTTTCGATCGACCACATTACACCTATGAACTTGGTTACTGGATACTTACATCGATTGTTATCATTATTAGTAAAAAAATTTATAATGGTCGTAATATAAAAATATCCGTCACATACACTTTTAAGTTGTTATTGACCTTTGTTTACTCAATTAAAAAATAATGAATATACTTTATAACTATAAACTCGTCTATCAAACAATTAAGTTATTTTGATGGTTAATGATATGTTTACAACTAACACATATCTGAACTACAATAGTTTAGAACTTACCTGTTTGGTCGTTATATTGGCTACCCAAATGATCGTGAGAAATCTTATGCTATAATACACGCCCCACATAACAGATCTTGTTAATTCATCATGTTCCTTTATGCCATTTGTTCCAATAACATATCCAAACATAGAAAAGTATATGTAGAACAAAGTTTTTAAAAAACTAGCCGATATCGATCCCAAAAGATGCAACTGATAAGTTTTGTTTATTAAATTAACCATGTCACAAAATTGACCATAACAATATCTTAATAAAAATATTATACAGAATAATTAATACGACTTGTACGAGCATTGATAAATAAAATACTTATTAATAATTAAACTTGAAAAAACTTCAATATTTTATATAAAATTGAGGATATTTTATTAATGATTAATTTTTAATTAAGTATACCTATACATTTCAATTGAATCACACAATTTATGTCCATAGGAAAGCTCTGATAAAAATGCTTCGCAAGTTACTTTTTCCACTAATGCTCTAATAAAACAAAATAGATATTTTTCAAATATTAATCAGCTAGCTATTACGATTTTTGGGAGGATATTAGAAAAATACTTAAATGCATTATCAATTGTTCTTCATGTAAAGTTTATGCAATTTATAACTGTTTATCATATTATTGTCTTAAGCTAATATGTTACTTATTTAATTACTCTCGCTTGAAGTTCCAATTAGACGCGATAGCCCTAAGATGATTGTTGATGACTTCAAATCTATAGTGTAGCATACAAGCGCATCGAATAAATTGCACATCACTGCAAAAACCCGCCAAGTTATTAAAAGATAACATAAAACACCACAAAATACCAAATACGTTGTTGAAATAAGACACACTGTAAATGTAGTACATATTGACAGGAATGCCAATAAATACGAAATATCACAAAAGGAACTTGTCGAACAAATACAAGAGTGAAACGGCTCTATTCGATTCTGGTAGAAGAATGGTGGTGGTCATCCCCAATACACAGTCGTCTGTACCGATGGCCATCAAATGATCCATATTATGCATCACTGCGACAAAAGTTCCAAATCCTCTATTAAGAACTGTCAACACTGTCAAACGACAGCATGCGCTTGACATAGCAACCACAAGGGGACTCAGGACCTTCATGGAAAAACTCATTTGATTGCTCACATTGACTTCAAGAGAATCTATTTCAGGCATTTCTGGATCAGGCAACCCTAAAAGGAACAACGAATCCTTGTATGCATACGGCATATAAGTGTGTAATACATAAGTAGGAACAGAAATGCCATGTGCCACAGTAACTGCAAAAAGTACCAACGAATAAACATAATCAAGACGAGACAATTTGCTGTAAGGTCTACCGTCTTTAAGTCCAGTTTTTAGTTTTAAGGGCATTACGCCAAATACGCGAGATACTAAACAAATAAGATTTAATGATTGATAAACATTTAAAAAAGTCATTATGATTTTTTTCAACAGATATATATATATGTGTGTAGATATTTTTTTAAATAACAAAAACTACTCACAAAAAGCACCTTAGTCTATAATAACTCACATAAGAATGATGTTTACCGCTAATTTGACCTCGTCATTAATGTCACTAGTTATCTAAAGCTTTGAAATAGTGAAATTACAAAAAAAAAAAAGCATAATAAAATTATAATGAATGACAAGCAAATAACGGAAATTGGTACCTACAGATTCATAAATAATGCACATGTCAAATTTCGTTTTTTTATTAACCTATAAAATAATTCATTATGTTTAATGCAACCTACAAAAAAAAAAACTAAATTTTATATGATTTATGCATAATTATTCGTTAAAATATGTGTCGATTTAACTGTTAATATAATTTATTACTTTAGTATTTTTAATAATACAATAAAAATAAAAAATAAATTTTCCAAAATTGCTGTGTGTGATAACTGTAAAATATTATTAAAGGTTTTTCTGACCTAAGTAGTGGCCCATTTACCTCTCTAAAAATGTATTGAATATAAGAACTCAATATTTTGTTAAATCAAATTTGAATGTTAATGTCTAATTTGGTCAATCAACTCTAATAAATGTTAATTAACATTTAAAATTATTTAAATAACAACAATAGTGTTAACATTAGGTCCATTGTAACTTGAACAATAAACCAATTTATCATTATTAAAAGTAGTAAATAAATATAAGTATTTTAATTTTATAAAAAGTTTTAATGACATTCATATATTTTTGTATAATTATACACATTTTACACGTTTATAGTTTCTAAATTCCAATAATTAACAAAGATTAAAACATAACAAAGTAGTACTTATACATTAAGATTATCTCTTATATCATTAATATAAGAATATTGTTGCATATCTTTAATTGCTTGTTGAGAGCTGTAAAAAATCTGACAATTCAATGAATTACACTTTAACTCAACATTTCTGCCACAACATGATCTACAAATCTAAAATATATCATTTTTAAATTAATCTTTAGTAAAATTAAAAAAAAATTACACCTTACAGTTCCTAAATCACTTTGTTTTTTTGTCCATTTTGATAAAAGATGATTCAGTTGCAATACTAAATACTGAGGATTCTGTACACATTGCTCACAAAATCCATTTTGGGATAATCTATTACATAAAATACAATTAACTGAAAAAAAATATTGAGATAGTGTACACTTTCGTTTATTTTCTAACATTAATTCAGGAAAATGATAATGATAAATTCGTGGTACTTCAGAATACCTACAGTAATAAATAATAAAATTAATATATTGAAATATTATAAAAACTAAAGTAAAATAATTATTACCATTGATTGATATCAACGTTGAGTAATGAAAAACACCTTTGTAATGGTGGTATTATAACTCTAGATATATAATACTCAGCGTTAAGACGAGCAGATTTCTCTTTTAAATAAAACATAGGCGACCGTACCAGTTTAATTAGTGGCAAACCTTTTGGTCCAGCTACAATAAGATAAGGGACTCTCTCTTTTACCCTAGGCTCAGCTCGTCTATCTACAGCAGACCATTGCCTAAGAAAAAGAAAATAAAGATTCTTATTTCTTATATATAAAGTGGTCCAGCATGTTCTGGCAAATTGTACAACTTTTGATCTAGTCAACAATTTGCAACAATTTTTTAATAATTATTATAATACTTTTGTATTATAATAATATAATAATTTATAATTTGTTTTTATTTTTAAGAAAATAATAACTTTTTTTTAATTTACAAAAAGTGTAAAAATAAAATTTGAAATAACTATTATGTAAAACAATCAATTAAAACATTTTGATAAAAAAAATATCTTATTAATGTATAGTAGTTAAATTTTTGTGATTGTAATGATTTATTAAATTAATTAAAAAATTTAATAAAATTCATTGTGTTAAAGAAACGTTACAATTTTTACAATTATCTAGTTATCATTTTGATGTATAATAAATTAATACTAAAGAGATCTTATGATTACTTAAATAATATTACTATTAATATTATTTATATACTATTTTTTTCATGTCAATTATAGGAAATTGTTCAAGCAATAGTAATTTTTTTGGAAAAAATTTAATACTTACAATCAATATTTAAATGAAAAGACTGCATTCTCTTCTATATATTTTTAATTTTTATTAAATTTTTTATACAAATTATTAAACTAAATAAAAAAAACTAATACTTGAAAGAGAATACTATTTAAATATAAATATAAAAATTTTACATACTTAGCTAATTCTAAAGCAGGTACACAAGCACCAGGTTTGTATCCTCTACGTCCCCTATATTCTCTGGCAAACAGAAAATCTTGAATATTAACATTTCCTTTGAATATTTTTTTAAATTGTTTATCAACATATTTCCTAACAGAAGCAATACTTTTAGTTTCAAATAAAATACAAAGGCTCTTCTCTAAAATCTTCATAAAAATTAATTATTTCATTATTTTAAAACTATATATAACATTATAAAATTGATACTATAAATAAAATTATAAATTAACTTTACTTTTGAAACTGCAGGACAACCATCACGACGAACTGTTTCTATTCCTTTTGCTTCATATTTTGGTTGTTTTTGTTCAATATTTTCATACATATACCCACAATATCGCTTTTTGGTCTATATTGAGTATTTACAAAATAAAATAAACAATTAAAGACAGTTTAAATTATTTGCATATTTTATTATTTATTTATATTTAACATCATCTCTAAAAGCTAATACTTGTGACAAAAAGGATGAGAAAACCTACATAACCCAAGCAACAGAATTGAACACTAATACTTTTGCACTAAGTCACAATGCATTATCAACTGAGCTGCTTACGCTGCTTCAACTTACTTGTAAAATACATGGATAATAAACTTTTTCAAATTTCAACTTGACTGGGATGGGATTATCTTTTGTAATAGTATCAGCCATTTCATTACCAATTTTAAAAGCATCCTCTTTAGATCTTCCTTTGAGTAATACAAAAATAGAATCTGTATCTCCATACACAACTTCTGCATTCCAATTTTTAGTAGATTGAATTAGATCTATTGCCCTTTCAAGGGTTTCACGGCCTTTACTAACCACACTATCTCCAACCTACAATTCATATATTTATAATTTTTTAATGAATAGTAATAAGAATATTTAAAAGCATAAATACTTCAATGCTAGGCATTCTACCAGAAAAATTTGCTGCAGTATAGCCATAAGTTACATTAGCTATTAATTTAAGTCCAAGTTGTTGAGCATTTAAGATTTTCCATAGGCGTTTGTTGTTTTTTTGTTCTTTCATTAGATTTTTCACCTACATTAAAATATGTACTATAGTAAAGGCTTTAAGTTGATTCTATTATTAAAAATATGAAGTTTTTAATTAATAATGATTCAATAGACATCCTATAATGATATTTTAAATTACTGTTAAATACATTAAATATCCAGTAACTCAAATGTCTTCTAGATTACCTTTTCAAATAGGTGACCCCATTACCCTGCTAAGAAATATTATACTATATCACACTATAGGCCCATAAATTGGTTTATAAAAAAATTAATATTTATATACCATTATACGAGTATCAAGAATTTCTTGTAACATGGTTGGCAATATACCCTGACATAAATTTTTTTTTACAAATGCTACTCCACAAGGTGATATTGTTAAATCATCTATTAGATTTATTAATGTTTCAAAAGGTACATTCAACTTAGTGCATCCAAATTTAAACAACTCAAACCTAAAATATATAAATTATAATTAAAATATACTTAAATTAACCTATTAAAAGAATATTTCTCAAATACTAATAAGTTTTTGTTCTGATAAAATGTTCTAAGTAGTTAACTATATTTTTAAACTACCTGGGGATAAAACATTGAAACTAAGAACAATTACATTGTAACATTAAAATTTTGTTCAAGATTTATACAGACATATATAAACTATAAAACAAATAAATGTATAAGTTTCCCCATGAATAATACTGGTTTAAAAAATGTATTAACTCGTTCAACTATATGAAAAATATTATATTTTGTACTTTTACATTCCACGAATTGAAATTGTATGCACTATAGACTTATATTTTGTTTGAGGTCATATTCTACTGAAAAATTTTTAAAGCATAACTTATTTCACGCAGCTTATAAACTCAGTATTCTACAGAATTTCAATAAGTTTTACACATAAATATCAACAAATCTATAAACACTTACTTGCCAAGTAAATCAATACTTCCTAAACAAGTTGAAAAACAATAATTGTATGCAATTATGATAGATGGGTATAAACTCTGAAAATCTAATACCACTACTGGATCAGTATAAAACCTAAAGAAAAATACATATAAACATATACATATATACAAATTTTTTTATAATTTAAAAAAAAACCTTGACTTTGGTTCCATAATTAAAGGCAAACTTTGAGGTGCATTCATTTCTGCTCTTTGCTTAATACTTGGAGAAACAGCAACATAGTTTTTCTTTTTAGCTAAACGCAACATCATTGATTCAACTCTAAACTAAAAAAAACTTTGGGTGATTACCCTTAACACAAAAGTAAATCTCAATTACACAAATGTATGCATATTTAATAAAATCATTTAATTACTTGTGAACCTCTAGATAATACTTCATAAAATTGTATTCCAAATAGTTTAGCTAGTTCAACTGTGCGACCAATTAAATCAAGCTGTTGTATAATGTTAATTGTATTTTCAACTTTGAATAAATAATAATCAATAGTCAACCACCTAAAAATTGAACAAATATTTTTCTCATATTCAAAATAAATAAGAATTCAATAATATACAATTAAATTAAATCATTTCTTCTATCAATCAAGAAAAATTGAATAATTTATAAGCTCAAAAAATTTAAATTAATTTTTTTCTTATTAATCATATAATAATGAAATTAAAAATGTGATTAAATACTTTATCATACATTTTTACAATAAGAATTTTAGATAAATAAAATAAGTAATTGAGCAAAATAACTTTTATTATTTAAAAATAAAGAATCTAACTGCATAAATTGACCTTTTTTCCATAATTATACTTGAAAAATATATATATTTTTTTTTATGAATTGTAGTATCATCATTAATAAATAAATAAATATAAATATCATTATGACGAAAAAATAATTAAATTATACAGTGCTAATAATAATTTAGTAATTAGATTGCACATACAATAAATATAAATAGACCAATCATTATTAGTAGGATTCATCAACAATATCAATATTTCCTTTCGATATCATCAATTTTTTTCGTTTTTCCCACAATATTGATTATTTTTGAGATATCTCGATAATCAAAAAAATATTTTTATAAAAAAAACTATTTGAATTTTGGCCAGTTTGTTATAAAATATATATTATTAGATATTGGTTTAAAAACAGTTTGTGTTAATTTTGTTGGCATTATTCGTATTAAAATATATTATGAAATATAGTTATGATAAAACGAAAAATGACAATTATTGATACAAAATTTTATTCTTAGATTAGGTTTTTTATTATTTGACCAACCTAAACAATAAACTTTCATGATTCCACCAGTAAGACAATGTTTGGTATGAATAAGATGGCACTCTCTGATTCAATATTAAATAAACCATATTTTCAAATGAATAACTTTGAACTGCTAACTAAAAATTTAATATAATAATTGAAATATAAATATATATTTAATATAAAAAAGTTTGACTTAAAAAATATAGTTTCAATAAATTAACTATGCAATACCTCATGTCGCAGCAATCTCCAAATGTCTAATACGATTCTACCTTTAAACTTCAAGTCAATATTTACTGCTTCTTCATAATTATAATCTATACTAGTATCATGCTCTGTAATTAATCTGGATAATTCAGAATTTATATTGCGTCCAAGATTGCCACATCTTTGTTTCAGGTAACCCCATGACTGCATTTCTATCTAAAAAATTTTAATTTAAAGACATAAAAATTGATAAATAAAATGAAAAATTGAATTAACTATTATAAATTATATTACCTCATAGCCACATATAATATCAGGATCCCAATTATTTACTATTTCAATAAATTTATCCAATAAGTCATCTTCCGTGTGACATAAAATTATTTTTGATTTAAAATGAGATAAATCATTTGAATAAATTCTTTCATCTACAAGTATACAACCTAAAAAATAATCTATTTTATTATATTTATCTATTAACTCATGTATACTAAGTTTTGCCTGTAGTAGATGTTTTGTCAAATGATCCACTGAGAACATGATAAAAAATTCCATGTATACTGTCATATTCTGGATCAGGATTTAATGTACTTCTTGTTTGAGTGTAAAGCTCCATAGTTATGATGGTAAGATTATTGTTCTAAAAATTAAATGACATTTAACAACACTTTAAATGAGTTTTTAAAATGTTTAAAAATATATAAATTTAACACTTAGTAACTTACATTATCTCTATCAACACAAAAGTTATGAGAACTTCCATATGCTTGTATTCCATCTAAAATATGACTATCTGAACTATTAGATGTTTTTAATGAATTGAAAAAATCAATTTGTGAATCATTGCTACTATCTACCTAAAAAGAATTGCAATATTAGAATTTAATAAAACTTGTTCTGTCATTACTAGTTACATTTAATGAATCCATAAATAAAGTACTAAGCTTTCTTTTAGTAGATTGTCTACTATGACTTTCTTTAACAGTACCAAGTAAACTAGTGTTAAATATCCCCTGGCTTAATTTAGGAGTACTATGATTTAATTTTTTTAGTATAAGAGATTTTGGAATTGACTGAGGTGTATTTATCCCTTTTTTTTTTCTTTTTCTTTTGCATTTAGATTTATATTTTTCCAACCATTTCATAGCCATAGAATAAGTTGGAGCCTTTTTTAGTGGCTCTAATATAACATTATTTTCTGATGCAAAAAAGTTGAAATCATTAAATCCAGTACAACTAATAGACAATAATTGTTTTCTAATTGATTCAATAACACTAGTATTTTTAAATGTGTTAGTTTTTAAATTATAAACTTTTTTAAATTTATCTAAAAAATTCAAAGCATCATGATGAGTTGGTGGTTTTGTTTTTAAAGTCCATAGAGTTCTCTTGATATTAAACATTGAGTCATAATCATTATAACTATCATAGTGTAACTGAGTATGTTCGTTTATAACTGCTTGAGAGCTAGAATTTTCTAAATTTTTTTCTTCCCCACATATTGTTTCATCACCACTACTTGCAACAATGGTCCTAGCATAATTAAACACTTTGTGATATTTAAATACTTGTTATTCATAATAAAGATTATTAACACTCACAAATTGACAACATTTGATTCTTGGCTTGAATTAGGAGAGATAAAGTTAATATATTCTTCATTAGTGAGTTCAGAGTTTTCCTTGTTAAAATCAACATGACAGTTTATAGTCTGAGAATGTCTAAAAATAATATTTTTCTTTTTATTGTAAACACAAAATATAATTTTTATACAAACTTTTTAACAAATCATAAATAAAATTAAAACATTTGAGTGATACTGTCATAAAATTTAAATATAATTACTAGTATCATAAAAAATATATAACCTTTCATGTAAATCAACTAGGGACATTGATAATTCATCTTCATTAAAATCATTATCTAAATTGTCCTCTTCATCACTTGCAGCTTTATAAGAAAAACTCTTAACATTATCAGGACTATTTATCTTTTCATTCATTAATAAATTCATCAAATCAATACTCTGGCTGTCCCCTAAATAAAAAATAATTATCTTAAGAGTATACTTGAATAAATAAAAAATGTAGACACTAAAAAATATATTATTTATTCAATTACATAATTGTGCTTGAGACTGAAATGTTTGAGATAAATTTTGTACAATATCTTCATTTACACTTGCTTCCAATTCTGATAGACTTGTACTACTTATAACTTGTTTCTAAAAGTGTATAAATAAATTATTTTATTTGAAAATGAAGAATTTTTCTAAATTATATCATTCATCACAATATTGTAAATCAGTTTTGTCTCTAACATGAATAATTTTGAGCAATTTTCAATTTAAAATTTTTAAAAATCCACAGACTAACTAAAAATTTTAATTAATTTTAAAATATTTGTGATTAATTAAAAAAGTCATAAAATTATAATATACTTTATAGGACTACCATATATTTATGGTAAACGATAATATGATGCTAATTTTAAAAATAACACAATTTCTTTTTAAAAAATAAAACTTAATATTAGCAACAATATTATAGAAATATTGTTCTTTTAGTAGAATATAAATATGATATCACTGAATCAGTATGTGAGGATATTGGCTTTGCTGATTATAAAATTTTTAATAAATATTAAATATTTAAACAAAACTATATAAGATATTTGAGTTAAGATCCCCCATATTTGACATATACATATGTAATATATGTTTTCCTAGCTATACCTTTATTTCATCTAATTTTTTTTGCAAATCATTTTTAAATTTTAATTCCAAGTTTGACTTAACAACAGGTTTTCTATCTCCACTGAAAACTTCAATTCCTTGCCTAGTTACATTAAGATCAGAAGATAACTTATTTATTTGACTTCGAATAGTTGATAATCCTGGACTTTGTAATTCACCTAAAAGTAGTTGAACAATAAAGTTTAAAAGTAATTTTCAAAAACTATAGATTTCATATTTTATACACTACCTATATTTAAATTAGGATTCAAAATGTCAACAGCAAGAGTATCCATTTCTTTTGTACATCGACTAATCTTAGGTATCCTATATTAAAACACAAAAAAATAAAAAATAATTTAAATAAAGTATTCATATTTTTAAAATAGGATTTTGTAAATCAATTCTTTTATTTCATTTTATCCTATGTTCAAGTTTTACAAACAATTATTAAACCAATTTAACAAAATGAGATTAAAAAAATATAATTCAAATTAAAAAATAATGTATAATTTAATTAAACTTTGTTGAAATAATAATTTATCTAATTTCACAATAACTTACACTTGTTTTTCAATAGATCTATATTTAACACTGCTAAGTTGTACATAATTCATTCCATGAATATTATAATCTATCATAAATTGTAAATGAAATGGAATGTGTGCTTCATGAGGTTGAAATATTTTATTACAAACTGCTCCACTCTGTTAAAATAAATTTAATAACAGATCAAAAAAAAAAAATTCTTTTATTCTTTAATAAATATTATAGTTATTTACTTGTATTAAGTCTACCGCAACTTTTGCTGTGTATGGATTGTAAAAAAGCACCTTTAAAAATTGATGATTTTCTTTATGGTAACCATAAAAGGGTCTAAATTAACAAGTATAAAATTACTTATTACTGCAAATAAGTTATCAGTTTATCATAGACCACTCGATTACTTTCAAAATAAATTCAATACTGAAAAAAAATAAGATCATCCCTTATAACAAATAAGGGTGTCAACTTAAATTTTTTAAATGTTAACATACATATTTAATTAACTTTTAATATCAAAAATTATTTAATTAAGTAAATAACTGGCGGATAACAACTTTTGGACCAGTATTTTGAATGTTATTCTCATTTTTTACCAATGTGGAAGAAGATTATGCCCAAGAAATAATTAGTCATTAAAATAGCAGCACCCACTTCTCACTTCCAATCTATACATAAAATTATTAATAACTTCTGAAATACTGATCAAAAAGTTGATATTGACCAGTCATGTTTTTAATTAGATTATTTTTTATTTTATAAGCTAGTTAAATATATATGTTGCTATTTAAAAAAATTAAGTTGAGACCCCTTTAAATATAAGTTATAAAAGATGATTCTAAAAAGTAATTATTAGCTGATAAATTAAAAACTATTTATTAATATGTAACTAAATGAAATCAAAAATTGTATTTCCAAAATGTATTTATTTTGTAAGTAATCAAGTGGTTTATAATAAAGCAATCACCATGTAGTTTTATAGAACATTTTTTACAGATAGTGAAATTTCTTAATGCTAATTCCATGTTTACATTATATTATTTAATTACTTAAAAGAGTGTTGTTTAGTAAAAAGAATAGTTTTTTCAAAAGTAATAGACCTATTTTCTGTTATGATTTAAATTTTAAAATCATGGTTAATATTTAGCATAATTAACTATCAATAATGAATACACCTAAATTATGAGTATACAACTATAATTAGAATAAATAAACACCTAGGTGATCTATTGAAAAGAGCATTTTTACCAAACTATAATGATTATAGTCAATGAGAATTATTCTCTTAATTCAACTAACACTGCAATTTATCAATACTTATACCAAAATTGATACTAAATTATTATATTACTTAAAAAATAAAACAATACCTTCTCAGCTTCGCATCGAAGCTAAAAACAATTAGATTTATTTTCAAACACATTCTGATTCAGAGTATATAGAATGTTCCAAAAGTAAGGAAATGGGTCAATTGTTACAAACAATGTACCATGTTTCCTTCAACCGAACATCACATAATTAATCTAAATTAAGGTGAATCTGGATCTTAATCATAATTACATGGTGGCCTAATGGTAAGGTTTATCCCTATGACGCCTTGAGTTACGGGTTCTAATTCCATACCGTGCCTTTGTTTTTCATACAATTTCAGGTACACTTTCTATAACCAACTGTGTTAACTGGTGCCTAACATAGGGATGATAACAATTGGAATTCTCATTGTGGGACATGTAGCAATCAGCCCCTCCCACCAGTAGAACTTTTAAGTGTGCAACTATCATGAGGCATGTAGCAGTCAGTCCATCCCATCAACCATAGTACCTTCGTATGCAGCTTGGAGGGAGTACGACACAGTACCATGTTTCCTTTAGCCTCACTTTACGTTATCAACCTAAATGAAAGTCTAACGGTGAAATACAGAAGAACTAAACATTGAAGTTAAAAATTCAGAATATTTATAATTACTGGTTTCAACATTTTATTTTATTACTTTATACTTTATACTTAAACACAATACAATTTTAATAAACTATATTTTTCCATAAAAAAAACTTTAATATAATAACAATACTTTATTTAAAGTATTATTTCTAATTAATAAAGCTATATACTATGAAAATTATTATCTTAATTTAGTACAAAACTTACTTTCCTGATACTACTGTAATATTATGTATGTGTTTTGATTTTGAGCTGGTAACTCCCACAGTTAAACATATTGCCTTTTCAAGGCTATTGGCAAAATTGTATAAATTTGAGTTGTCACTTACATCCAATGATTCTAACTGAACAAAAATATAAGGATATACACCATGGATGTGTAAACAGCATTTTACACCTGTAAAATTTTGAATTGCATAATAAATTGTAGGTATATTGGAAACACAGATATTAATTTTTTCAGCATTGTATAAACTACTTTTTTCAATCAAAAAGAAATAAATAATCATAGTAGTCTCCAACTTAAAAGTCATAATATTAATTAATTAGTTAAAAAGAAGGTAAGTACAATCGGGATCCAACATAGTAGAATTGAGGCATTTTTTAAATTTGTATTGATTGATACCTGATAGTAATTAAAATCATTGTTGCAAAAAGCTTTGATGCATATTTGAAATACTTTTTAAAAAGTGATCAAATTTACCAAATATTACATGATTTTTTTTTTACATATGAAGCAGACTACTCATAGAGAACAAGTCACTAGGAAGTTTTTCTTTATTTTATCATACATTACATTAAAATGTAAAAAAAACTTTCATACTCAGTTAACGCTTATCAAAAAAATTATAAGAACTTACCTTGAATTGTCGATCCAAAAATTCTAAGAACAGGTACTTTAGTAACTTGTGTGCCCCAAAATTCTGAATACAACGAATCTAAACCATCAATAGGATTACACATATAATGATCAATAGTTACTAAACTTACACTTTCAATTATTTTAGAGTTTTCCATGAATAAAAATGAATTAAAATATAAAATTTAACTAAAAACTATTATAAAAGTAACTTGAAAATCAAAACTTTTTTTTGTGGCGAATTAATAGCGGGAATAAATTTGATAAAGTTTTATAAATTAAATGTGATAACATCAAAAAATAAAGTATCAAACAAATACCACGAATATTAAATTTGTCGAATTAATGTTAGTTCAAATATAATACTTCATTTGTGGATTCTACACATACATAAGCATGCTACTGTGGTTAATTCTAAATTTATCAAATATTAAATACATGCTAAGATAAATTTTGAAAAAATTATTTTGACACATTTGACTAATAAATGAATTCTGTGACTGACATAAGAATATGATAAATTGTATCTTAATTGCTTGGTCGAACGAAAATTCAGTCAAAAAGTAAAATGTCAATACCAGAAACTTTGTAAAATTTTATTGAATTATATTGACGATAACGGGTGTCCAACTTTCTTGTGGTGGTGGTCATATGGTTTTTTTGGAGAAACGCTGGACACCTGAAGACACTCTAGAACATATGATTGCACACACAAATCCTCATGAATTTGCTACCTGTATTTTAATATTTGTTTAAAACACTGGTATTTTGTTACGAAGATACCTGTCTAAAATACTCTCGTAACGTGCACTTTATGTATTCCTAGTGCGAAATATTAATCTTACAATTTTTTTTAAATAAGAGTAAAATAATTTCATTTTTAAAATACAATTTAGAAGAGAAAATAATAATTTTTTTAAGCACATCTCTGTTCGAAAAACCTTAAATAGGACAAATTTTTTAAAAAATACTTATTTTGTTGGTAGGTAGGTTCTGCTACACAGGGACGTATTGGGAATAAAATTCAAGTCGGGAAATCATTTTTTTGAGGAATTTTTATAGGAATTTTTTATACAAAAACATTTTAATGAGTGCAGACTAACAGGCCGTTTTAGCAGTCCAGGCCACAGGGACTCCTCGGTAGCCCAGGGACCTGTCTGTCCCTGGCCTTATATATTAAAATCGTTTGTAATGTGGTGGTGTCACGTTACCATTATCGTAAGAATTTATTATAATAAAATACAGACAGGCCGCTTCCTGAGACTGATGAATTAACAATTAATACTTATTGCTAAATTGACAATAGTCTAAATTATTATAAAAACCCAAAAGACCTGGTCATCTTGATCAGTCGACTGCAGTGCCTTGTGTCATTCGTCAGACTCAGTACACGGTCGTCACTGTCTGACTTACTGCATAAAGTCAAGTCATTGTTTTTCCTTTTTCAACTACCTACTCTCGTCCTCAATATTTCAGAGTATTTGTGTCTTGCACTTCATCTACACCTCGTACTCTTTTTATCATCCTTATCTGGTACGCCTAGTATTTGTGTCTTGCTTTTCTTCTACACCTCATACTTTGGGCTCCTTTGAGAGTACACCTGGTATTTGTGTCCTGCACTTCGTTTGCACTTCATACCATTAGTGTTATCCTTATACCCTTCTTATAACAACGGCCTTTCGACACCCACAGCTAACCCGAAGTGTTAGCCGAGCACGGTACTGCTGTATGATTGTACGCACGTGAAAACCCCCCAGTCAGCAGACTCAACATCAGCGTCGTATACACATATACATCATCATACTCATCTTCGTCTTCTTACCTTTTATTTATGTTACGACAGTAAGTTATAGCCACTCATATTATTTGAATTTCCATTTCATATCTAAGAAACTGTTTTATAGTTATCACAGTAGTTTATTTGTAGAACCCGTTTTTTTTTTTACTTAATATAGTTCCAACTACATAAATCGGGACTTTTGAATAGATAAATAAATTGTATTTATTTATTTTATGAAGTTCTAGTTTGTATTCAAGATTAATATTTCAACACAAATTAAATATTACAATAAGAATTAACTCATTTTGCTAAAATACAATTGAATCTTTGTTTTAATGAACGACGTCCTTATTAAAGAGAAATGTATAATTTCAGATTTTTGAGATATTATTAAAATTTATTGATTAAATATTCAAAGAATAGTATATTTAAATGTTTAAAAACGAAATTATGAATTCTTTATGAAAAAAAATTAAAAAGCACTGAATAATTCTGAATTTATGTATTATAAATGTTTCATACTAAGAAGAACTTTTTAGAGTAATAACGTCTATATTAAAATTATAATTATAAATTTACATAAACCATTAGTTTTCATTGACGCGGAAGACAAAATGAATTTATGGTTAAACGATGAAGGTAAATAATATTTTATTTTTTATTGAAGATTAAAAAATATCTATGGTATACAGAATTAAAATAATGTGTATACGTTGGAAAAACGAAAAAAAGGAACAATCCTAATAAATAATGTAAGTTTTGCGTGAACTCTTTTCTATATTATTGCGATGCATCAAGTATGTACGTACTACTTCCATCCACCACCACTGCAGTTTAATATTTGATCGGATGAATGATATGCGTTCTACGTACACTTTATAGTGGATCTACTATAAAAGGACGAATAACGAGGAAAGCTACGTTGAGTCAATAAAAGCTTAAGCAAAGGCCCGCAAGGTCGCGCTACGATTTCACGAGGGTAAAAACCCCATAAGGGTAAGTTATAGGGGTTGAATATTCCGACCATTCATCAGTCGTGATGTAGCGTTCGCGTGGTTTTGTTATTTTGTGTGTAAGCCAATTGCTTTATTTAAAATTACTATTACTACAAGTGCAATACATAATATAAATATAACTTTTTTATATAACGCGTTGATTAATTTATTTTTAAATTAGAATATATGCCTTAGAAAAATTAATGAATGTTATTCGATAAATTAAAATAAATTATATTAAATTGAGAAATAAACAATTGTATCATGCTTTTAATTTAATTTTTCAATGATAGTTTCGTAAACACAATCTCAATAAAAATAATAGCAAAATATTAGACACGTTGCTTATTATTTTTAGTTGTCAAAAAATGATTTTTTTTAACTGGAACCGTTAAACTTAAGATAATGTATGGATATTACGCCGGCAAAATATTACCCAGAAATCTGTTTATCATAGTATCCCTTTTAATCGGTAAGTGATAATTCGTAAATATTTATGAAATTAATTAAATTAATTTATAAAGAAGCAAATTTGATCCATTTTACAGGTCCTATGGACCTATAGACTCGTAAAATAATTATCATCATTGGTTCTTTCGCGGGAAGTTTATTAATAGTTTACTTATATAAACCTTGCAAAAAGAATAACAATACGTATTTTTGATTAGCCACATTATGCAATATTTTTTACTGAACTAATTATTTTATTTTGACTTAAAACCTCTTATCCAGGTGGAATTTTTAGAAAATGATATTCAGAAAACATTTATAGAATTATTGTTTTAATATTAAATAAATATTAATGTAAATAATACTAAAACAATTATACTTAACTATTATCAAAAATAATTTAAATGACACACAATGTTTTGTGATCAAGGTACATTAGCTTAGATAAATTTACAAACACCAGACCTCCGGAAAATTTTCGGATATTCTGATAGTTCAAACCCAGCCGATTGTAAGTTGTATAAATATACGCCTGGCCAATAATAGATATTAATAATCAGTTGGGTATTTAGGAGGGAAAGGGGGCCCATGGAGTCCAGACCTCCATAGACATAAAATCATAGTATAGGGAAAGTAGTAAAAAGGTAAATCTCCTTATTACTCTACATTCTCAAAGTTATCTGTAATTCCTCATACAAAACGTTTAAATACAACACTATTTATAATAATTATAAAATAATACTTATATTAATTAGTATTATCAGTGTAAACATTTTCTCATTGGATCCTTTTTTTTTTATTTTCATCTATGTTTGCAGGGCCGAATGCAACTGCATTTGTTGTGTTACCTTCCAACCGGCCCTATATTGTAAGTCCAAATTATTTCATTCATAATAAATAATACGTATAATTTATTTGTTTAATTTGAAGTAACCTTAAATTGGGAATTGTTAAATTACAATCAATATTTACACGGTTCGTGTTACTCTGACCTTAGTAGTTTCAGGAAACCCCTAAAAGGTATTTAACACGCAATGTTGCGACTATCGTCAAGCTTTAATGTACGTTAATATATTAATATTACCGCCAAAAAAATATTTGAACATACTTATGAAAATTTTATTTTTGAGAATTTTTAAGTTGTTCTATTGTACAGTATCAATGTAAATATAGATCTATATTTACAGTTTTAGTTTCCTCTGGTTAATATTGATTTATTTATTAATACATGAATATTATACGTCAATTAATAAAATATTAGAAAGAGTAACAACTAAGTAATATTACGTATAAAGATTCTATCCGAAATTTGAAACATACAATTAAAATTACCTTACAATTAAAAAAACAATCCAAAATTATAACAATTCAACCTGTTAAATTATCTTGATAGTCCAGTAGATCATCTTGATTTGAATTAGAATCAAATCAAGATATATTTGAAATGATAATATGTAATATCGGACTAAAAAAGTCAAAATTTTAATAATGTAAATGAGAAAAATTAGAAAATTTATTAAAAAAACTGAACTAAATATTTCTACATTTCATACTGTTCTAAAATAAAGCTGTGTAATTTAACACTTCTACTAGTTTTATTTACTTCAAAAAATAATCTTATGTAAGTAAATATTATTCGGTTTCTCTTTTTACTGCAACATGATACTTTATGGGTATTATTCACAAAGAATTTAAAGGTTGCCTAGACAAAATTGTAATGATGCGACATATTTTTATGGCTTTATAAAAAAATTTCGAAAAAAATATTAAATATTACACTACGGTAATATAAATGTCAATAAAGTTTTACAAACAGTGAAACGTGCATTTTGTCCCAAAAATATTTAAGTCCCGTAAAAGAAGTTTGATATTATTTGAAGTTTTTTCTTATTAACTAATTTTTTAATGAGATTAAATCTGAAAATATTTTCAATTTTTAATAATACTTAAGACATAAGACTAGATTTAATCAAATACAATAGGTCATTTAAACTTGGATAATTTTACTGTGATTTTGAAACGTTTTTAATCAAGCTTATTATAAGTTATAATAGTACACAAGGTATTTTTATTTGTTTCTTTATAGTGATATAGTTTTATAAATGTTATTAAATTAATTATTTTCAATATTTCTAATTCAATTTCAGTGAGTTCTAATTCACAAGAATGGCTAAATGTGACATCAGATTACACTGCGTTGATGAATGATTTAAGTGTAGAATTGTTAGAACCTGGTGCTAGTGTTCAATTATACGAAGTAAAAAATGATAACAACTATACACTGATGGGTGAAATTCCTGTTGACGAAAACTGGCCATCCAACGTAACTATCCATTGTGGTGTTATAACGAAAGGCGGACGATATGCTCTTGAATTGGTATCCAACATTACAATATCTGCGGATGAAAATACAGATAACAACACAAACGATGTATATTTTTTTGACAATACTACATAACATTATATTTAGCGATTAAAATTATTATAACTCCGTTGTATTTAGTTTAGCTATTTATAGTAAAATCGGTTTTATTTAGGGGCAAATTATCGAATTGGACGTGCGATGGCCTTCGGCCACTTTAGAATTTGAACCAAAACATATTTATACGTATCCAGAATCATGGCAACAAGTTATGGTTATAATAAAATTTGAAGGACCCCAGTGCGAACCTGCCGTCGGATCAGCAGTTCCTGTACTTTGGTTAGATTTAATGTATTGCGGTTTAACGGCAGACACTTGCAAGAATGTCTCTAAAGTTACATACTCTCAAAATACAATTGAACCCTTAGTATGACGAAAACGTTTTGATTCGAATAATCAAATGAAGAATTTAACTTTTCCTTTTTTTTTTTTTTGCAGGTAATTCATTCTGAACAGATTAGAGGCTATCCAACATTCAGAAAAATACATTTGAAATGTGATGTACTTGGGATCATTGGGTTTTATTCAGCAATATTGCGACCACCGTCGCAGAACGGACGTCAAGAAATCGTGGCGAATGTGGCTGACCACGGGCTGTTGGAAGTACGTAACCTGAACCCTTATGATATCGTAGTTTAAATACTTGCCGTATAAAGTAAATTTAATACTAACTATACTTGCACAGGTCGTTCAAAACAATAAATTCATGTTAAACGTGCACGGTAAATCGATTTTCCCATGTGACAGCTACGGTGGAGGCGTCCCTATAGTTTTCCAGTATCCTACGTGTATCTTACCAACAGCAGATAAAGTAATTAATTTTAGCCGTTGCTTCCGACCTATTTCCCAGAGAATTATTGTCGTTTTTCTCTATAGGTGAGATTGTTCGGGCGCTTACGAGACAACGTTTCCACTTTGTTACCACCAACAAAGTTACACTACATTTCTGAACACAGGGTAATAAAAGGCCGCCACAACGTTTACTTCGACTGTGAATTGTTTTCTGAAAAATATATAGAATACTGTTTTGTTTACGTCAATCAAGCGATAAATAAAGCTTACACAAACATAAAAACACAATGTGTTCCAACACTACCAATTGCAGGTATAAATTAGTTTGTGTGAAGTGCACATAGTCGTACTTATTCTATTTAATCATAATGTTACTGCTCGTATATTTCTAAATATTCGCGTCATTAACATCTGCAAGCAACCAACGTTATTTAACTATAATAATAATAAATGATAAAAACATAATGTATTTTTGTAACAGATATTATCTGTTTTACAATAAATGTGACAATTATTAAACATTTTTTATTGAGATTCATTATTCGATCGTTAATTCTTATTATCAACCGAAGAATTGGTTATACACTACCCTGACTATTAGAGACATGGTATTTGTTTTTTTTTTTCAATAAATATCATGTGTTATCGCAGATGATGACTCTGGTCAATGGAGTAAATGGAGTGAATGGTCTCCTTGTTCTACTACGTGTTATGGAGGAACTCGAAATCGTTATCGAACGTGTGACTCTCCACCTCCAAAGTATGGAGCGACTTTTTGCCAAGTATGTCTTAAAACAAATTTTTTTATAACTTGAAAAATAGATAACTCTAAAATTATTGTCAATGAGGAGGCTTGAGTCCTTATTAGATTTAAACAGTTATATTTACTTCAGTTTTAGGAGAACTCGAGGTATTTTATACATAATTAATAAACAACCAACTATTTGTAAAAAATTACTAATAATATTTCTTAAATTCTAATTTTTTTCTACATATTTACTAATTATTTATTCTATGTCATGCTTATTAGTAGAGAAGTTTGATGTGGAAAATACTTTAATATTATCCTTAATTTAGGGTCCATCTTTACAAACTGAAAAATGCGGCGAAAAAGCACTGTATGGACATGAATGTGAAAAAGTTGAACAACAACAAATTAAAACATATGGTGATAATTCTAGTTTAGATATTTTGCCAAAACAAGATAGCGAAGAATTAGGTAATGAATGTAAATGTGGTTGTGTGATTCATATGTCTAAGGCCACTCGGACAATATCAGCTACTACTAAAGGATGTCCCGGTCGATCTTTATGGTTAATAAAGGTTTGTTTTACCAACACAATACTATCAGTTATTTTAGTATATAACTTAATTATGTTAAAATCTTCAAGTAGTAACTTTTTATGGAGGAGTGAATTTAGAACTATAACTCAAATAATACAAATTACATTTTTGTTATATAGATAGATTTTTATTTTCTTAATAGTTGGTGAGCACTTATTATAAAGAGTTCAAAAATAAAATAATTAAAATATGATAATAGTAAATCCCTAGGTATCTAAGATTAATTTTTGTTTTGATAATTAAGAAGAAAAATCATATTCTTGCTTAAAAACGAATATAATATTTTTAGGCAGAGGATAAAACAATCATTCAATTAGATATTGTAAGAATAATTTTAGTATGCCCTGAACAATGGATAAAAATTCGAGATGGAAATTCAACAGCTTCCAATTTATTGATACACTTGGAGGGATCTCCGGAATCGATAAAGCCTATATTATCATCAGGGTCATATTTACTTTTGGAATTTTTCTCAAAAACTATTTCATCGTCAAATGATGAATGTTTTGGGGGTTTTTTCGTCCAAATTAGTCGAATAGGTAAGTTGATATTAGAGAAAATCAAGTAATTAAGAAATCTAAAATGGAAAAAGACCAGCAAAAAGATGCTGTATACTAGGGACAAATATAGATGATATTTGACAGTGATTAAAATGACTATCATAAAAAACGCTTCGATGCAATTCTATAAATAGTTTTTAATTTTTTGAAGGGATTGTAGGATTTTTCCATAAGCAAATCAACTCCTATTTTCTTAATTATGTTCTGAGCACAGGTCTTATGATTTATAAGTACAATATAGGAATTACTTATAATGCAAATTAAATTAAGTATGAAATTGATATTCAATAATTTAGTATTGTATTTTAACAATTATAAAGTAGTTGTATATTTTGTTACCTCAATAACAAACGTGAATCAAAATTGTAAGTATGGGTTTATAAAAAAAATAAGTTAACTTTCCTAATTTGATTATTCTGATCCTCGTTAGGTAATTATTATTTCAGTCATGAAATTGAAATTTATCATATATATTTTTTAACACTTAGAGTGTAACATAAGCTTTAATTTAACATATGTTTAAAGCTCGAAGTATTATCAAAGATAAGTTAAATAGGTTAACTTTCATGCAAAAGTTGCTATTTTGAATTTATCACGTGGGCAAATAAAGGGTTAGATTTTCGAAAAGTTCATACCATATAAAAAGGAAAAACTTAAAATATTTATATAAAAAAAAAAATGTTATTCTAATTCATCCATTTTTAAATAGTTAGTTTTAAAAATGTCAAAATTTTAGCAATTTCAAAAGTCTTCATTTTTTTTGAGATTTCCCTGGAAGCTAACAAAATGTTTTTCTATTTTTGAGGTAATGTTAACAATTAAATATGATCTGTGATCTTTGGCGTATCATTAAACAATCTACCAGTAAAATCTAAAATAAGTAGTTTTGTACATGCACATAAAATAAAAATTAATTAATTAATTAATACATATGGTAAAATTAATATCTTCTCAGTTTCGCATTGAAGCTACAAATAGAAAATTAACCCTTTTTCGGATTATTCTACAAAAGTTGAATACTTTTAGTTCCGAATTTTTCATAAAATGTTCACTCAAAGTTATAAATTAATAGTAAATTAAGTTTCTCTTAAAAACATAACTTATCAAACAACATTCCTTAAAAATAATTTAACAAAATAGTTATTCTTGAATATATATTTTTAACTATTATTTGGTAATAAAAAACCCTCAACAATCTTTGAAATGTATTTACATCATTACACGGTAAATATATCTTATGTAATTAATTTTATTACTTTTATATTAGTTTATAACAAAGCCGTAACACTGATAAGTATTAAAAGTTATACTAATATTTAACACAATAATCGTTTTTTTTTACTTACAGAAAATAAGACGTCGATTATAAATACAAATCATGTTCTTTTTAAAGACAATATATTATTTTTAATATCAAATATCGACTCATTTCTAGCTACTGTCTCAGCTATATTTTTATTTTTGGTTGTTACTTGCATGTGCTTTACTGTTCAGTTTGCCGAACGTAAGCATAAGTATCATAAGGCTAAAACTGCTGATAAACACTCAAGTAAGATCTTATAAAATTTGGTACAAATATCTTAATATTTATTACACTATGCGGCTTTTCAGTTGGATCAACTTATGGAATGTTACTTGATAATGATCATATGACATCAACTACTTCTATACCGTCCCAAACTTTGTCTAAGTTTGAAGCGATAAGTATAAATATAAGTCAAGATTTAATCGAGAATGATATCGATTATATAGCAAAGTAAATTTAATAAAAAAATTATCCATTATAAATTTCTAAGTATAGTAAAATTATATCTTTATTTAGAAGTAAAACTGAAAAAAAAACAGAACATTCAGATACTTGTTTGCCAGTTAATCAGCCTTGCACATTTTCAATTTCTCAAACATCATTATCGTCACATCAAACAGTAAGTATTAAAAATACTAAATGATTAAAAATCATCATTAATATTCTATTTTTAAAAAATAAACATTAATGACTATATTTTACTTAAATTTTTATACTAGATGGTTCAGTCAACATCCAGTTTAAGTAAAGATAGTAGACAAAGAAGTTGTAGACTTCATAATACACTGAATAGTAGTACAGACTCTAGCATACATGGACATGATGTATCCGATTTAGAAATGGATTATTATGATTATAACGTACATAATACAAATTGTGTGCCTGGATCATACATTGGGATGGATCCTGCATATTGTCTGTGGATACCTCCATTATCTGACCATAGTCCTGGTTCAGGCCATGAAGTCATGGAAATGTCTGTTATGGAAAGTAAAAATAATAAATGCAAAAGGAATAACGAGATAAGCAGCAAATTTAGTAACCGATTATCAGCAGATAGTGAATCCACTTTGATCGGTGATGATTGCATTTCATTAAAAACTCTTGAAGCCTCACCAAATAGGAAATATTTAAAAATTGAGAACCAAAAGGCTGAATATTCAATTAATGACTCTAATATTAAGTTTGTTGATGAAGATGATAATTTAGATATAAAAGATTTCATTTCTGTTAATGTGGAAAATAAAAATATTTGTAATAAATGTTAAAAAATTAGTTTGTTTTAAATTTTTAAATGATATCAACGTATTTAATTATATATTTACTATAACTTATTAAAGATGATTCTCCATAAATTATCATTGAAAAATTATATTTTAATAAATATTTACTAATTTCACTTATTTTTATCAATTGTCTTATTTTATAAGATAAGCTTAATTTATTTAGTGCTTTTGAGAAGAAAAGTATAAAAATATTAAAAAAATCAAAGCTTACGATGATAATGTATTTAAAAATAACTTTATAAAGTAGAGGTAATATCTTAATTCATTCTTTACAATTTTGTATTGAATTTTCTTAAAACATTATCTTATTAAAATCTATGTTTTTTAAACAAAATTGTAGTTTTTACACTTTATTAAATCAATAAACTATAAGAATTTATAAAACATAGCAATAACTGGGTTTATAAGAAAGTTAATTATTTTTTCTTTCATTTAAAATATCTAAACAAATTGAATGAAATCTAGTTTAAGACTGAAAATTTTCAGTATGCCAAAATAAAATAAAACTCTAAGAATTATGTAAAATTAATTTACATTTAATTGTAACCATATTTTGAACAAATAAACCCTATTAATAGGATACTATATTTTTATATTTCAAAATCTTAGCTATGATAAACTATTAAGTTTGAAAATAATACTTATATGGGTTTTTTTTTCTGAAAATTAAGAACCTGAATTTCTCATTCTAATGACCCACTTCAGTTCAACACAAAATAAAATACTCAGTTTAATAAGATTTTTCAAAAAAAAAAAAAAAAATGATAATTTAAGTTTGTAAATTAAATATTTTAGACTACTTGAAAATTCATTATACTAGTTTGAGAGTAATTTTAATAAAATTTATTTTATGAACTACAACTGAATAATAGAAATTAACTTAAATTTAATTAATGATTTAAGAGTTTTAAAGGTTTACTTTCAAATTTATAATAAAAAAAACATTATTTTTTGAAAATGTTATTTAATAAGAATTTTAGAAACAGTCAACTCATTTTCAGAAAAAAATTAAACATGGGATAGTTAACCTCTAGTGTACAACACTAATGAGTGCCGGGGCACCTGCCCTGGGCCCCCGCGGTCGTTGTGGCCCTCTCACGGCTAACTTGCTCGAGACACGCAAAACTTTGCGCTGGCACTAAGACTAATCTAAAAATGTTTAAATATTTAAAAATATTACATCACTGTATAAAAATTAATTAATTAAATAAATTTGTTATTTACAACATTTTAAAGTATGAATCTTTATTGATATATGTTAATATTAAGCAGTATATGATAATAATATTGTATAAAGAAAGTTAAATGTAAAAATGTCATCAATATATTTACAATAATTTATTTACAATATCTATCAGCTTTAGTTTTTGCTCTACGATCTAATAGTGATTCATGTAGTTTCCCTTCTTTTTGTGCTTTTTTCAATAAGCTATGTTTTCCTTCTATTACTCGCATCTTTTTATCTTGAAATTTTTGAAACATTTTTCTGAGGAAATAAATAGTTATGGGAATAAATATATAAAGCTATATATAAGTTAGACTAAAAGTTGTTAAAATAATAGGAAAATTATTTTTATTACATTTTCTGAAAAGGTTTAAATAAAGCAACAAATTTAAAATAAATAAAGGTGTTGATATTAGATATTAAAAAAACAAATGAGTATTATGAACAGATTATGAATTAGAGTATTGATAAATACCATATGTTAGAAATAAAAAATTAGTTTTAGTAAACAGTTCTTACACATAATTCTTTTCAATATCTTTAATGTTTCCTTTCTTTTCATCTAACACATTAGACTCTTCTTCAGTATTTTCTGGAGCATGTAATCTAACTTTAACTATTTCATTTGAGCCAGCCGTTCTACTCATAGCAACTAGTGAATCATCTTCATTTCTAATACTAATAAAACATCCAGTAGAAGCCAATATAGCTAATTTATTATCCTGAAAATCATTAATAAAAATTGAAATTTTATTTTGTTTTGTCTATAAAATTATAAATAATATGTACTTTAATGAATTGATATTAATGATTATTTAATAGATAACTTTGGTCACTAATTGTATTTATCAATGGTTTTAGAATTTTTGTAATACTATTACTTTTATTATTATTTATTTAACACCTAATGGTAATGTACAACAAGAAAATATAGTTTAAAAAACTAAAAAAACACGCTTTTAAAGCACATCGAACTAAAAAGTTAAAAATAATTTTTAAAATAATTATGAACAAAAAATACTAGTATTATTGAGATAAAAGCGTGGGTCGCTCAATATACGAAAAATATGACACAAAGCACCCACGCTTTTATCTCAATAATACTAGTATTTTTTGTTCATAATTATTTTAAAAATTATTTTTAACTTTTTAGTTCGATGTGCTTTAAAAGCGTGTTTTTTTAGTTTTTTAAACTATATTTATTTTTTACTTTTTAGTTTCATGTTATGATAGTAGTTACTATCAATATCATGGTTGTTACGGGTAACGGGAAATCAGGGTTCGATTCCGGGGAGGGAGTCTGAGAAACGGCTACCACATCCAAAGAAAGCAGCAGGCGCGTAAATTACTCACTCCCGGAACGTGGAGGTAGTGACGAAAAATGACGATACGGAAATCATCCCTCGTAATCGGAATGAATACTTTATATCTCTTAATTAAAATAAAGCGTGTTAATAAATAAATTTTAATAGTAATGAAAATATATATATATATATATACAAGTAAAGCGACTTAAGTACGTAAACGTATCATGCACTAGGTATAACCGTATTTTGTGGGTGGGCGGGTCGGACTAACGTTATACCTGAGGTATAAACGGTGGTAGGAATATATAAACATATATACGTAAGGCGCATTAGACGCGGGCGGTATTGGTCAGTCAAAATAAAAATTTGTTTATATATATATATAATATTGATGACAAGCACGCGTGTACGGGTACGATAACTAAAAATAAATTTTTATAGGAATAGTGTGCCGTCGTGAGGTGAGCGAGGCGTGGGGAGGGGTGAATGCGTATAACAGTCAAGTCTAGACGACGGAATATGCGATAACGCGTGGCGTTTGGAGAGTTACAAACATACATACATACATACATACATACATACATACATACATACAGGTGAAACTAATATAAGCGTGTTAAAAAAGAACATTTTTAGACTTAAGCGATGAAAAGTAGTTTATTAAATTCATAACTAATATACTATATTGATTTTTATTTGTAAATAATATAATGTATTCAAATGAAATAAATAGTGAAAATAGCATCGTGGTTATTTTTAGTTTTTTTGTATAAATTTAAGAATTCAATACACATATTCAATTTTTTTTTTCTTATAAAAATAAGGATAAATAAATTAAGGAATTTGATAAGAAAATCAGTTTGCTAAGACCTCATATCTTAATAAAACAAATACTAGTGGACAACTAACTTGAAAAATGGGTTCAAACTGTTCCAATAATCCAATAGCATCAGATCTTCCTACAATGGTACCATCCTTATCAACACCCAAGTATTTTCCATAACCAGATTTAAAAGCTACTCTGGTTTCATTTATTGCTATTGCTGTTAATATTTCTTCTGGAAGTGGTCCATCACCTGAAAATATGTGTTTAAAATCATTAAATATCAAAATATTAGTAAATTTTAGAAATTAATGATATAATATGAATTATTTATTTTTACTTCAATACCAAGACTATTTTAAGACCACAAATGCAACTAGACTAAAATATTTGAGGATGCTAATTGAACTCTGCCCTTTTTTATATAATGTATGATAAGTCAATGGGATGATAAGTACCCCTGTGGTCCAAATACACTACTGTTAATTATATTATTCCTACAAGGATATATCATTACTGTTAAGAAAGAGGTAGCCAAGTGATATTATTTGTTGAAAAATTTAAAAAAAAGTTGAAAAATTATTAAATAAATAAAAATAAAAAATAATTATATATTTTTAAATATATATGTCACCTATAAGTCTAAAATTTGTATTCATTTTAAGAGTTTTTTTTAACTTAGAATTATTTTTACAAAAAATAAAAATTAATAAAAAAATTTTCATTTTGACATTTTCAATAAAATACAACAATATTTTATTTTAAATAATAAAGCTAACCTTCATTATGAGGAGGACCAAGTGTAAATAAACCATTATCCATTGCTGTTACATAAGTTTGATTGCCAAATTCAAGGGCGATAGGACCAGATATTTCACTTATTATTTTAGCTTCTGCCCAATTACCTATACAAATACAGTAGAAAAATATTATACATTACATTTAAAAATATATATAAGACAGTATATTTTAACAAATACTAGATCTATTAAATAATTTTTTCTAACATCGAATAGAAAATTTTTTGTTTTACTTTGTTTTCTTTAATTTCAATTATATAAAATATAGTGACTTTTTTGTGTAGAATTTTTATTATTTACCATGACTAATTTTATCTATACTTTCTTCTTTATTTATTTTTGGATCATTATTTTTTGATTTGTCTTTCTTCTTCTTTTTTCTAAAAAAATAATAAAAGAGTTATTAAAAATATTATATATTGTAACAGTTTATTATAAATGAAATATGTTCATTTTACTTTTATTTTAATTTTACTATACATGATAAATAATTCTTATTCTATAAATAATATTCACAAAGTTATATAATATTTAACAAATATAATTGATATTTATTTGTCATAGTGAAACTCTTATTTTTTTGTCTATAGACTTAATACAAAAGAACTCAGATTAATTTTTGCATACTTTAATAGTATATATATATAGTTATAGTTATATATATCTATAATAGGTTAAGTAAAATCTCCTCAGACACAAAACTATAATTTCTTCAAACCTAAACATTAACAACCTGTTATTGCATACAAACAATTTTTGATCTAAAGTTTTTTACCATTACAGTTTACTTATATGCCATAATAACAACTATAGTAGAACTTTAATAAAATAGAAAACCTTAATAAGATCAAATAAATTCTGTTAAAGAAAACTTTGATTGCCTGAAAGAAAAATTTTAGATAACTCGAAGATATTATTTATAGTTTGATGTGTTTTTACAGTGATTTACCTATTAATCTAAACAAATTAATTCTAATAATTTGAATTGATTGCTTTTATTGTGTTAGTTATTGAAATTAATACGAATATTTATTACAACTATTAAAATTAATATCAATTAGGATTATGACTAAGTGTCGTGGATGTATAAATGGTTTTAATACATTCTTAAATCTTAAAGTTAAATTTAAGTTTACTTAAAATAATTCTTTTCTCTGAAACCTTGATCACTAGAAATCTTACCAAACCTTACTATACAAATATCTTACAAATACTTACTTAACTTTTTCATTTTTCAAAATTAATTTTGAAACTCTAACCTTATGATATTCAGACATATTTGAAAATCAACAATTTAACTAAATACAACGGTAAACTGATTTGGTTGACTAATTGTACTTTAATTTACTATTATTATTATTTCAATAAAGAAGTAGACATTATATAAGCAGTACTTAAAATGAATTTTATCGACAAATTATCATAACAATGCATTCTAAAATGTTTTTATAGTAAACAACTATATCAATAGATTGATAACCGTAGTATTCCATATTTTTATCAATTCACGTAAGGGGAACATGTCAAAATGCCTAATATTTGGATTGTTGTTTAATTTTGACTTTAAGCAAAAAAAAAGTTTAATATTCAAGTAATTTTTGTAAAATAACCAGTCGTGCATTAAGCTTTTTGGTACCTCTAAGATAAATTATTCTGATGCTTTCTCTATCACTAACCAAAAATGTTATAATATTATTTTACTCATAAAATTGTTTATTCTAATTATTTCAACAAAATATAAACAATATTATGACGTAATAAGTTTATTACATGTACAATATTTTCAATTGAAAATGTTAAAATATTTCTGATTTTCAAGTTTATTTGGAAAATCCTAAATAAAAAAATGTAAATTATTTATGATTAGAAAAAAAAAACCCAGCACAGTGGGGTCGCGGCATAGTGGAGATGTTGCATAGTTGGGTTCAGTATAGATTTAATCTGACAGTGATTAAAATCGGGAGAGCACCTTTGCCACGAACTGATGATGCTCCGACATTTACATACTTCGACATTTGACAAAGTAGTAATTGTTACGAACATCTGGTACTCCGACCATCTGATTCATAGGTTACCAAAATTATGACGGATTTTACTTCGACATTAAATTTAAAAAATGAGATAGTAAAAACTCCGACATTATCGATAGTTTGATTATGCATCGAAAGTTATATTATATTTCGATTGCATTGTTAGTAATAGGGCGCATTGATCGTATATGTTGCAACGTCAGGGTCACGTGGCTACAGAAACACTACATTATTAAATTAATTATATTATTATTAATAATATTGTAAAATTTAAATTAATTTATTGCAACAAAATATTTGGGAACTCTAATTACATAATTTTTTACCTAATCTAAAAAAATATTTCTATACAACAAGAAATACAAATTAATTCATTTTCGGTATAGTCTATGGCAGAATTTTAGGAGACAAAGCCCCCTCAAGTCTCTCCAGATTGCGGTCAAATCCAAACTGGACTGAATTAATTTCGTTACCCACCTTTGAACAATGAAATGATATTAAATCATATTTTTGTTTGATTTCATATGAAACTAATTGTAATGACAGTTTTAGAGAATGGGATACCGAATATCTTTATAAACGCATCTGTTTAATAACGAATACTATCATCATAAAAACGTACCTCTATATTTTTTAACTAAACTAATTGAATGTTATAATATTAATGTGCTTACAATGTTATAATAAGCACTAATAAGGAGAGGTAAAAAAGATTTTACGTCTGAAAATTGGAATCGCTCTTCTTTCCCCTCCAAAAAAAAATTTAAGGGCTCACACCAGTTATGTTACCTTTATGTACCTATTTTATCAAAAGTCGGATACATTTCGGGGATCTTTATTGTAATAATTATTCGTTAATAGACAGTAATCAATTATAACGCTATTTTATTATATTAATTAATATTTATTAATTAGTGATAAGGGTTATATTTTTCCATCAGATAATATATTGCTACGATATTCATCTACTCCGAAATTTGATAATTTTTTAATCGATTTCGCGAATAATCGATATTCGGAGCTAATTTCATTCGGAGCAATCAACTAATAGTCCTATTCGGAGTATTCGTCGTCGTAGTAACATCCAAAGTTTTGTAACCAGGTATTCGTAGTAATTGTTGTCGGAGTAAATGTATTTGGAGGATTTTTTTACAGTGTCGGAGTAAATGAATGTCGGGGCATCATCAGTTCGTGGCAATCTCCAGAACCCATTAAAATCACTATCATAAGAATCGCTTCGATGCAAATCTGTAGATAGTATTTAATTTTAAAAAATTGATAGATAATTACAAAAGCAACATCAACTCTTATTTCTTTGATTATATTCTAATTAGTAGTTCTTTGATTTTAAAATATAATATATGAATAAATACTAATTATAATTATTAAATTTAGTATGAAATTGATATTCAATAATTTAATATTGTAATTTAAACGGAGAAATTATAAAAATAATAAAGAAGTTATATTTTGCTTTATTTTTACGTGTATAAAAATTTAAAGGGCTTGATACAATAATTTTCAATAAAAACTGTTTGTTACCGTAAATAAATGCACTGGACTACAAGGCACTTTCATCAGAAGCAAAAATATACTTATCTAATTCAAATTTTCCCGTTGTTTTAAAATCTGCAATTAGACTTTTTCTATCACTTCTAATTTTTTATATTATTGCTAATTACATATAAAATAATAATTAAAAGAAAAAAAAAATGTTTTCAAATTATTACTGATTTAATTTTTAATATGTTAAAAGTAATAATTTTTAACCTTCTTTATTTTGTAATTTAAAATGAAAGTTTATAATAAAAAAAAAAATTTCATTTTTAACCTATTTTTTAGGTTCCTTAAAGTTGATGAAAAATTTTTGACAACATTTGTGAAAGATTATAGTAAAAAAAGTTGAATATGTTACCATAACTTTTAGCTCAATTACAAGTTGAAATTGACATCTTTAAATAGAAAATTTTATGAGAATTAAAACTATGCTATTTTTAAGACTAATATGCAGTCAGGAAATTTTATAATTACTATTTACAGTATATTTATCAGAAAAACTCATTATTTTTTTGCATTTTTATCGTAATAGAACACTTAAATAGAAATTATATTAATCATTTCTCAGAAACTTTTGGTATTTAAAAAGATTCTTCAATTGAAATATTCAGAACTAAATTAATTTTAATATTTTACTTTAACTAAAAAAAAAATATATTGATCCATACATCTTTCAAAAAGTTATAGCATTATAAAGTTAAAAATATAAAAAAGAATTTTTTTACAAAAATCGTATTTTTTTTATTAAGTTTAATGTCTGTTTTCACNTGACATTAGAAGTACATTTTGTGCTGGTACATCATGAAGATAAAAAAAACCCAGCACAGTGGGGTCGCGGCATAGTTGGGTCCAGTATAGATTTAATCTGACAGTGATTAAAATCACTATCATAAGAAACGCTTCGATGCAAATCAGTAGATAGTGTTTAATTCTAAGAAATTGGTGGATAATTACAAAAGCTACATTATCTGCTAGTTTCTTATTAATACCCTGATTAAGATAAAGTATGTCGAATGAAAAAGGGATTATTAAAAAATATTATTTCTCATAAAAAAATTGTGTTGATTCGTACACTTTTCAATGAGTTATAGCATTATAAAGTTAAAAATGTAACCAACCCAACCCAACATCAACTCCTATTTCCTTAATTATATCCAGATTAGTAATTAGTTTAATTATATATTATATAATTTTTATAATTAATTATTTTCAAATTATTATTGATTTTTAATATGTTAAAAGTAATCATTTTGAACCTACTTCTTTTTGTTCTTTAAAGTGAAAGTTTTAATAAAAAAAAAATGAATTTATTACCATAACTTTTAACTCAACTTGCAAGTTTGAAATAAATATTATTAAATAGAAAAAAATGAAATTGGTAGATTATTTCAAAAACAACAATAACACTTATTCCCTTAATTTTACCCCGATTTATAACTATAATATATGAATACATAATAATTACAGTAATTAAATTGAGTATGAAAGTGGTATTCAATAATATAATATTGTAATTTTTACGGAGATATTATAAAAATAAAAAGGAGTTGTATATTCATATACTTTTAATGCGTATACAAATTTAAAGGAATTTATGCAATACTTTTTAATAAAAAAATTTTGTTACTTATGAATAAATACACTAAACAAAAGGAACTTTCATCAGAAAAAAAATATACTTTTCTAAATAAACTTTTCGTGATGTTTTCAAATGTGCAATTAAACTTTTTCTATTACTTCTAAGTTTTAATATTATTACTTATTATTAAAAAATAAGTATTTACATATAAAAAAAAATAATTAAGAACAAAAAAAATTGTATTAAATTAATACTGATTTTGATTTTTAATATGTTAAAGGTAATCATTTTGAACCTATTTTTTATTGTCTTTTAAAGTGAAAGTTTTAATGAAAAATACCTTCTCAGCTTCGCATCGAAGCTTAAATATGAATTTGTTACCATAACTAATAGTTCAACTTGCAAGTTTGAAATTGACATTATTAAATTGAAAAAAATGAAATTTTTAAGATTAATATGCAATCTGGAAATTTTATAATTACTAATTACAGTACATTTGTCAGAAAAATTCGATTTTTTTACATTTTTATCGTAATAGATAACTGAAATAGAAAGAATAGTAATCATATCCTAATAACTTTTGGTGTTTAAAAAAATTCTGCAATTGAAATATTCAGAACTTAATTAATTTTAATAATTTACTTTAATTAAATGAACCAATCAAACCAAAGTAGTTAAAAAGATTTACTCAANTTAGCGATTTCTAAATTTGTAATTTTTTTGGATATTTCCCCCATTTGCGGGGAACGAGGGAATTTTTTTCAATTTTTACACAAAAATAGCATTCGGTAGCCGTTTTCACCATGAAGACAAGTCCAGAGGTCAAATTTTTTTTTTTCAAATTAAAGTATATTACATTAGCTTTAATTTAAGATATATATAAAAGTGTCAGACCTTCCGGAACATTTTCAAAAGTTAAGTTGAAAAAGTTAATTTTTTGTGAAAAAGTTGCCATTTTAAATCCCACCCTGTGGGCAGATAAAAGGTCAGATTTACAGAAAAAAAAAGTAAATGATAAGTGAAGACATCAATCGTCTATAAAAAAAAAATTATATTGATATGTTCATTTTTGAAAAAGTTACGGCAGTTTTTAGTAAAATAAATTGAAAAAATTTCGAAAATTAGCGATTTTTAAATTTGTAATTTTTTTGGAGGTTTCCCCCATTTACGGGGAACGAGGGAA